TCATTCAAAGGTAACAAAAACACAACAACCCTTTTTTTCAGGTGACAATACACTCTTAAAAACCCTACTTATTAAATTACATTCCATTTCTGCCAATATATCCCCATAAATCCTTCATACTGGACCTTTACAGAATATGCCTTAAAACCACTTTCAAATAAGAGCATAAGGCCCAATCCCAATACCCCCCCTTGTCCACTACCCCTTGGCCCTCAAAATGAAGCAATGAGGGGTAGGGGTAGAAATCTTTCCCTAGGAATTGGGACACCACTCACTACATCACCATGTCGGTTACGTTCACACATACGTAACTATTTTAAACAGGAAGCTGCGAGCCATCTACCTTTCCAACCAGCATCTACAATGGAGTCTCATTCATCCTACCGATCGCGTTTGCCGCATTCATCACGCTTCGTTTGATGAACAACAGACTACAGGGGACTTCTGCTAGCTAGCTAGCTAGCTAACCAGCTAACATTTCGAGTCAGCATAGTTATACTAGCTGGCGTGTTATCGTAATGTGAAAAGTCCTACAATTTTGCAGAACAGGACAGATGACAGACGCCAGATAGTGTGAGCTAGCTAGCTAGCTAACAAGCAACCTGACGACAGCTCGGTGGTAGCCATGGCAATGTCTACCCCTCGCTGGCAAGTCAGCATCTGAAATCCCTCGCTCCAAAGGGCTAGTTTCATACCCTCTACCCCTCGTTATGCCCCCTACCCCTACACGCAAAAAGGAATTGGGACACCACTACCCCTCGCGGGAACGCGCAAATATAGAGGTAGGGCCAAGGGGTAGGGCTAAGGGGGGTATTGGGACGGGCCTGAAGTGTCTACAGGTGGCCATCTTGGAGGCTTTTTAGCCCTGCAAATTCTAAAAATCTAGAGGAACACCTAATCATGCAAGCAGGGCTGGGCAATGTACCAGTGTTGTATTGCACTGTGGGAAAACACAGGTCTCAAAAGAAACTCAATGCATCATACATGATCTTTATCACTGCTACTTACTGATTCACAACCAGGATCATACATATGATTATTTTTGAGGCACTGTGAGCAAAGTGTTTGGCTTGTTAATCTAAAATTTATAGGGTTAATATACGTTGCAGTAGGTAATAAAACATCTAATAAAGAAACCTATGATTTTAGGTAACAAATTCCTGTCAGTAAATTAGCCTCTTTCCCAATTCCATGAAACCACACAAGAGTACGACACACACTGCACACTGTAGTTTTGAATATTTTGGTTGTTTTTGTTGTCGTTGCCGCTATCATCCCAGAGGTGGCTGTCTAAACAGCATGGAGCCAATCAAGCTATCAGTAAATAACAAGTGATATGCATAATAATCAAACAACACCAGCGAGACCCATGACACCCTACAGCAGCAATGTAAACAATGAGCGCCTGATGAGGAGTGACTTCTCATTTGTTCCCCTTCCTCCTCCGCCCTGTCATAACAATACAATAACTATAATGTTGCACTATACAGTCTTAAAGCAACAGTTGGTAACTTTGCGGAAAATATCTTTGTGTCATTTTTGCTAAAACTGTTATTATATTGTGAAAGATGTACATGAGACATGAGACTACTGCTTTTAATGGCATTTGCCAGAATCTACGGCAGCACACCAAAAACAACCAATCACTACAGAGGAGTCTATAACACAGCAGTCAAATTAGGCAGCGTTGCTCAAATATGAATCATGTTACTGCATCGCCTATATCTTGCCTCAGATGTTTTCAGAAACATATTTTAGTGTCAAGTTTAGCTGTAAAATGAGTAGGGCTGCCCCTGAATAGTCGACCAAATGTTAGTCGACCAGAAAGGTTGTTAGTCGGTAAGATTTCAGTGGTTGCTTAGTCGCAGGAAAAAAAACAAAACTTGAAACTCTATTAGGAGCTGCGCCTCGTCAAAAATAAATCAAAACCTATATGATTGGATCATGTGGGAGTTTAATTTGAAAGGACAGACACAGGAAGTGGCCACGCACAGGTTACAAACCAATCACAGCCAACAGATATCTTTCCCTTCTTCTGTAAATATTCAGTCTGATAAATACAGAAAAGTTGATCATGTTAGTGCAGGGCTACCCAGAGCCTTACATCTGTCCTACTGACAATAGGCCTACACACCTGGAAGAAGATCAGCTCTGCACTCAGGATTTCAGGTAAATAGGCTATATGATGCTTGTTAAGTTTGCTTAGCAACCTCAGACGTAACCTCCCACCACACTCTTGAAAGCTGGCACAAAAAAGGTGCAAGAATACCACAGGTTTTCCAGATGGTTAAAGACGCAGCATGTGTACGGCCCCTAATTTCCAGGGCTGGTACCTGCGGTTATTCCACAGGCTAGTTAATAACATGTCGGGCAGGAAATCCAAAGTGTGGGATCATTTTGAGAAGGTGAAGGACGAACCCAAGGTGATATGTAAACTCATCTTCATTGGTCGACTACAAACATGACGTATCATCTGAAACATGGAAGTAGCTACATGCCCATTAGCCCACAGCGTCATTAACAGGCGGCTCGCTCAGTGTGTGACGTGCACTTGTAGATAAAATATAGGCCTATATTAATGAAGGTTCATTAGTACGGTTTTGTATTTCTCTGTAATGTAGCACAGTGTTAACAATGTTACTGATACTATTCTTTCTCACACCTTCAACTCAAACCACCAAAATATATCATTTGATAATTAAATTAATATCGTAAAAACGCGGGCGACTAGTCGACTAATGGCCCTAAATGATGACTATTGGTGGACTAGGAAAATTCTAAGTCAGGGGCAGGTCTAAATCATACTAACAATTAACTGACATAAGATGTTTCCTGCTAGGTTGCAAACATGACAACAACAAAAAAGCATAAAGTCAAGAGCAGGGCTGCTACTTTCAGTAGAGGTAGAAAGTTGAGTACTTTTTTTACTGAAAGATAAAACGGTAACATTTGTGTCATTGGTGCATGTTTGTTTGTTTTTTTAACCCATATCAGTGGTTCCCAACTGGTCCAGCCTCGGGGTCCAGATTTGTCCTAGCCCATTAGTTCAAGGTCCACACAGTTTAACACATTCAGCTTCATACTTGCGTTTGCCCATGTCGTTGAGCTAGTTTGCTGTCTCTGTCAAGTTGCTGTCCATCAATCATTCACTCTACAGCAGGAATTCACCGTACTTAAAAATAAAGTCATTTGTGGCCCATTCAGGATGGACCCATGACCCACTTCTGGGCCGCAACCCACCAGTTGGGAACCACTGACCCACACAATGGGAGAAGCCGCTGGCCCCCAGTACTTTTACATGATCTAATCTGGCCCCCATTCAAAAAAGTTCGGACACCCCTGGAGCAGGCAGGAGTCAGGCAACTGGATGTGGCCCATCTAATTTCTTCTGGCGTGCTGAGTTCAGGCCGATGCTGGGCCAGGTCATTTCTGATAACGGCCCCATGATGGCAGTGTCGGCAGCCGGAATTGGGCCAGCTGATTTGGCCTGATTCTGGGGCGTCCTTCATACCAACTCTCAGCAGAGTCGGACAACAGGACCCAGCCCAGCTAATTTCACCTGGCATGCCGAGTTCTGGCCAATTCTGGGCCATTTATTTTTAAAAATAAAGATTACAAACAGCTTTAAACAATGTCACCAGTATTTAGAGATGAGTTTGGTGACCTTACAAAGCCTTGTGTTCATTTTAAATCTTATGGTATTGCTATAATTATCCTGTCCACTGTGTGGGAAGCTAAACATGACTTTTAGGCAGCATTACTGAACTTGCTTTCCCTCTATTAAAGCATTAGTAGAATGCACTTAGAGTGACTTAGTTTAACAGTTGTTAGTAGATTATGGACATGGTGAGTACAGATCGAGTTCATGACATTCAAACTCCATTTTGCTACTTTTCAGTCTGCTATGGCCCCACAGCTGATTTTTCTGCAGTGTATTTACAGATATTTGTTGACAACGACAATATTTTTTTATATTTTGCTGGAATATTTGCACAGTGTCCCTTCTAACTATGACTGATATGGAAATCTGTGTCTGTTTCCAGTCCTTCGATACTCTGCATGTACAGTTACAATAGCTTTATGACTGGAGATGGATGGGAGTTGTTTTGCCGGGTGCAAGTGCAGAATGTCATATCTCGTGTTATCTGCCACCACACTGCTGCAAAAGAGCCTCCTAAGGAAGCGGCAGTTGTCACTCACTTCACATAGTGTGCAGTGTAGCTGTGAAACTACAAAACGTGTCAATCCAGATGACACTAATTTAGGAAAAGAGGTCCAAGGAAAGTTTGATTTCAAGAGACAGCAACAACAAAACATCCTGTACAAGAGTGCGTTTCCTTGTGCAGATCTTTGTTTTCTAGCATTGCAGATGACGTTACTTAATTCTCCAAGAGGATATCTGATCACACCGCACAGTGACTGTCATGTGTGCAACCAGAAATATTCAATTTTCATGCACATTGACTGCATTCACCACATCTGAAGATCTATGAACCCCAGCTCTCCGTAAAAGTCATGCAACTTCTACTCTGGGTGGAAAACACTAACTATGAACCGCAGTTGGTTTCTTTGCATGTGTGGTTCAAATGGTTGCACCGCAACACATCTCTGACACCCCACGTTTGTCTGTATCTTTACGTGTAACTGCAAATATCATGCGCGCTGGTGCATTTTACGCAAGTTTTTCGTGACTACCTCGAAACGCACATGACAAAATGTTCTGAGAAGAGCAAGCATGTGTTCCAGGGAGACATTAACTTGTGCAGAGAGGGAGCGAGCGGCGTATTTTGAGAGCTGTCATCCCGAAAAAGCACACACACACACACACACACACACACACACAGTCAGCAGACACACAGCACTGCTGGCCTGCAGAGTCGCTCAGCTCTGCTCTGCACAGCCTGGAAACCAGCCTTCATCCAAGACACTTCACACACACCCGTACCGGAAAGACGCAACCCAAACCTGACACAAACGCATCAAAAACAGCTGATACTCACTTCCCCAGCTCCTCGTATAGCTGATATTCGTCTGTGAATCGCGTACAGGTTGTCGTGGCCATGTCTCTCCCCTGTCTCTCGCTTCTTTACACTTTATCAGCTCCGGAGGAAAAAAAAAATTAACGCAGTAATTTTGCGCTAAATTTGCGTATTAAAATGCGGGTCCGCCCAGCAGCTGCACGGCCGTTGGAGCGGTGAAATGCTTTTCTGGAGGCGCCGAGTGAAGGAGGGTTTGATATAGTAAGACGAGGCGACCAGGGTGGGTGTCCTCTCTCCGTCTGTCTCCACTATCTGACAGCTACCGCGCTCAAAGCGATGCGTAATCAAGTCAGCTGGGCGAAGTCAGGCGACTTCCTGTTATGTTTCAGAATAAAACGCAGCTTTGATTTTGAAAGGTTGATGATCAGAAAGGTTATTAACGGATGCTTATTCTGATCATCAGCTTCACATATGATCATTTTTATCCTTTGCGCACAATAATGACGCAACCATGTGCCAACTGTCCCTAGTGTGCACAATGTTTATGAATTAGTCCATGGGCAAGGCCAGAATTTGGTACCATGTAAGGAGGCAAAATCTCTTTGGTATCAGTCCCTTTTGTAGGGTCCATGTACCGTGAAACTTGAATTAGTAACCCGGGCTAGTATTGGCTTAAATCACTGAACTCAACAGGCCTCTATATGGAACAGGCCTTTAATTCCTTTCTCCCAAAACTGTTGCTCAGCAAAGACGGGGAACTACAACTAACTTATTTGTTTAAATCAGTATGAATATTACTTGTGTAAAAATGAGGCTTCGGATAATATATCAACTATGAATCATTCATTTGTTCTAGTTGTGACGGACAGCGCTTTGGAGAGACAGTTAGGCCCCGATCACACAGTCTTGCAGGTTGCAAAACGAGATGTGCTCCTCACCTCCTTTTTTTCTAATTGAATGCCACTCGTAAAAAAACAGCAACAAAAAACACCCGGTCATAATGGTTTTTTGTTTGTTTATTTGTTTGTTTAAATTTCACAGTAGCTCTGGTTGATGGTGAGAGGATGTCAGCAGATGAGACCTTAAAGAGGGTGGGTCATGGGATGTACCACCAGTTGGTCCAGGAGCTTCGCATCCATGATGGCTGCTTCCAGGCATATTCTAGGGCGACTCAGGGGCAGTTTGACAACCTGCTGTCTACCGTTGGGCCATATAGCTCTGGGTATCCAGCAATTGCTACCACCAGTTTCTCCTCCATTGTTCATCAACCGTAAACTTGTTGTCGTGACCACCACAGAAGGCCCACCTCTGAAAAAAAATGACGGAAAAAGATATGACGTGGGGTGCTTTCCAACTGGAGGAGTTAAGAGCACTGCGGCAAAGACAGCAGGCGCCTAGAGCGTAGAAACACGAGGCGCATAGCAACGCAAAAACAGCGTTTCATTCTCAATGAAAACAACACCTCCAGCAGCTTTATGGCACGCGAGGATTACGGCACCCAGCAGACCGACACAACACCATTGTTTAAAACAGTCCTCAAAGCTTAGTTGAATTTTGATGAAAACCCTTTTGATTCTTTTGATCTGAGGACTGTTACGGACTAAAGGAATATGAATAACTGCCAGGGTAATCGAGAGAAGGAGACATAAGGTTCAGGTTCATACGTGTATCTAGGATTTTTCCTAGAACATGTTTACATGCTTTAATGTTAAAAAAACATTATCTTTCTCATAGTGTCTGCCTGGTTATACCTGTATCCACCCTCTGTCTGAAACGTTCTGTTTTAGCGCCTGCCTCTTTAAGCCCTCCTAAAAAAGTCCAGTCTGCTCTGATTGGTCAGTGGTTTTGGGTCGTCCACATCTTGATGTCTTTGCGCCATCATTGCAGCCATGGAATGACAGAAATGGCACCATAGTGGTACTCACTAACTGTGTAGACCGTTTCACTAGATCTGCATTTCTAGGAAATAGCTTGGCTCCATTTTTACCTCCTGTCAGCTGATGTCATTCACACACGCCACAAAACATTCCAACCGAAAATACAAAGGGTGCGTTCTTGAATCCAATCTGATGCTCTACACGAAAATAAGAGCCCTGCTGTTCGAATACACTGAGTGTTGTATTTCTATATTAATTAATAAACAGTTCAGTTCATCACACATTCAGTCTGTTCCGTGCTCTCCCCAGACTGAGTGCCCAGAGTGCGCTCTGCCACTCTGAGAGTGTGGTGCTCTGGTTAAACTAACGCTGGAATTCCACTGGATGTGTGTCCGTTGCGGAACGGCTGCGCTGCGTATCCGTCCGTCAACACCCACTGGCTGTGTTTGTGGTGTGGAGTGGTGCAGCTCCGTCAGACAGCGGGAGTCACGAGGGCCCACGAGATGTCGTGAATTCATGCATAATCATGCAATATAAAAAGATGTCGTTTCTATAAACACAACCACAAAACCAAGAACATTTTATTGTTTCTATCTAGAGGAATAGTAGTAAGACATCTTGGTGCACCTCCATGATCAACATCTCCTCGTCCATGGTGTCAACGGGGTGAAATGACGTCTGAAAACCTCTTACCTGTTGACTTCAGGCCTGCCTCCGCCCATTACGACATTTTCAAGGTGTAGTGCAGGGAAATGTGATCCGCCGTGAACACTGTGTATTTTATTTTGAAAATTAACCAGACTTCTTGCCCTGCACAATCTGCTCTGTGCTGAACTGCTGTGTTGTTTCTCCGGTGTCTGGCAAAAATAGAAGTCCTGCGTATTTGTTGCGGAGGGCTCCGGAGCGCCGCAGCTGTGATGGAGCCGGAACGCAGCACAGCCGCAGCCGGTGGAAACACACACATTGGCTAGAATTGAAACGTATCGGCTCTGCTGCCGTTCCGGCGCGCAGACACAACCAACATGCATCTGGTGGAATTTAGGGGTCATGGCACACTCCAACAGTGCTTTGTATTTGGTCCTGCACTCAAAGTGAGTATTTCTGAACACACCCAAAGGGACCTCCTTTGAATGTTTATGTTTGAAGTTCGAAATGTAAAGTTGTGACATCACAACTTCAAGGAAGTCCTGATGGTTCATTTAAAGACACATTTTCTGGAAATACTCTGTGTGTGCATTTCTCTGTGACTGAGTGTTTTGATAATTTCACAGTATTCATATAACACCTATACCTGCTTTATATTAAAGACGACATGGAAATATGACTTTCTGCAGTATGGGACCTTTAAGTTAGCCAAACCAATGCTACAGCAGATCTGTGTGTGACAGATCCAAGTTCATTGTTTAGGTGGTTTTTACCAGGAGCCAAATTATCCGCAGAGGTGTCTTCCTCTCTAGAATAAAAGGACCAGACGATTTGAAGTGGTAAAAACACGGAAGAAAGCAGCTTCATGTGCAAAGATAAATGTTTTACCAGCCCTGCTCGTTGCAGAGAGGCTGCTCACTATGGTGGCCAACGCCAAAATGTGAATGTTCAGTGTCGCTTTATATGCAGTTTTTGGTTTTTAAAGCTCCATAGTTCACCCGCCTCTTCTGACTGAAAATTCCTGTTTGTTTCCCCTATTAGTGACGTTATTGCACTTTATTTTGAAGGCATGAATCACCCGTGTTCCGGTCTTATGCTGATAAATGTGGCTGACTTAACACAGTCCTCTCGAGTTGGTCGCAGCGTCTCTGCTGAGCGGCGCTGGATGAGCCGCTCTGTGCCGCCCTCTGGTGGACAAAGCTCGTAACGGCACAGCGCGGCACCGGCTGTAATCGAACACACCTCCCGCCTGCACGGTGCGTATTTCCAAATAGGGGCAAATATGAGAGCGCTGGTTTGTGCCTTCAAAACATGCCGCCATGCGTGTTGTCAGTGCACGTGTTTGTTTGAATACAAGCTGGACCATGCGACGCGCTGCACGGTTTAATCCTCAAAGCGTTGCAGAAGAATTTATAATAACCCTGACATTCATTGTAGAAAGATATAATTCATATATAATAACAATAGATTATGTGTTTCAGGCTTTGGGGATAGCTTTGCAGATAAAATATTAAAATGTCTCAATAAACACTCAGAACTTATTACAGAGCATCTGGCTTTTGCATGATAAATATGCAGTTGCATGTTATAATTTTTTTGTGTGTATAATGATATGTAATAGTGCAACACTGCACCCAGGGCCTGGCAAAATTTTTAAAAATGCTAAGACAACTGACCAACTGAACCCTGTAAAAATCCTGTGAAATTTAAACAAATAAAATAAACATTTTATTGTCTTTTTTTGTAAATATGTTTTATTGATTTTCAATATTTTTATCACTCAAAAAAAAAGACACAAACTTAAATTCAACCATTCCTCCCCAGACTATAAACAAATACATTCATCATATATATATTATACTGTAATCAGGTTACAAGATACATTCAGGTAAATGGAGGGAAACTAAACAAGCAACTAAAAACAAACAACAAAAAAACAGGGTGTGTGGGTGGGGAGGGGACTGCACTCTGCTGTCATGCAACATTTATGGGAGCCACCTTAATTTTTACTGAGGGGTTCCTATAGGAAATCAGAAAAGTCCCAAAAGGAACTCCATATCTTAATAAAGGTTTGAGAAGACCCTTTGAGTGTGTGTTTGATTTTTTCTTACCCAATGAGAAAGGGATGGAGGCCGTGACCAAACAGCGCGCAGACTGGGTTGGGACACCTTTTTTGTCATTTAACTTCTCACATAATTGTCTAGATGTTGTTTCATAGCCTTCTCTGTACTTTTTAAATGCCAGAATAAGGTATAAATCATTATAATAGTATTTTCATATTTATTATTTTGGTCAAAAACTGTCAAAATATCTTCTTTAAACTAACCCACACTGTGTTAAATATGTGTAATCAGAGAATGAAAACTGCCCTACGTGTCATTAAACCACCCAGATTTACAACAGAGGACATGATTAGCTACTGTCATCAGCACAGTACATCATCTTGACCTGGTGAAAAAGAAAAAACAAATCTCTTTGTTTAAGGTAAAGTGTCAAACATGGAGTGCTCGCAGTTGAACTTCTACTCCAGCAGTCCACGTCCTCCCAGTCAGTATAATCCCACCAGAATCTAACTGGCCTGCATCCAAAGTGCCCGCTGACATAAATTCATCAAAGCAGGATGGCCTACACGCTGCCAATAAAAAGCGCACACTGGTTACGAAGTGGTTAGCAGGTTATTGGAAGGAAAACACAATGAGAATCCATTTCAGTGTTCACGGTTGGTCTCTTTCTTCATGGATTTTAACTTTGATGAATACTGCAAATTTGGGAAGATAAGAAGGTGATTTAATCCAAAACTAAATGCTGTGTGGTCAGCGTTTGGCAGAGTCCATGCACTCTAAGAGTAAGAATGAGACTGAGGGTTGAAATAAACTCTAATGTAATTATGGATGATTCACTTTAGTCAACTTGATTATCTCAGAAACAGTTCCTGCACTCATTCATCCGACTTCCCAGATTAAAAACTGATGGTTAAATCTAATATCAACACTCTATAGCAGTGGTTCTTAACCTTTTTGTGTCAAGGACCCCTAAACTGATGCTCATTAGATCATGGTACCCCACTAATAAGATTCAGGGACCTCGTAAGTGCTAATATCGTAGGCAACTGGACCTGCTTGCGTTTCCTGAAGACGTTTCGCCTCTCATCCAAGAAGCTTCTTCAGTTCTAAATGACTGGTACGAAGTTGCAAGCTATAAACCCTGTGTGGGTGGGAACCTTTGCAGAGTCGTAGGGGTCACGTGAGCTCTTAGTTTCAGAGTTGTTAAGGTCACAGTGTGAGCAGTTGACCCACCTGGCCACCATGTGAGTCGTTAGGGTCAGGTGGGACCAGGGGTGAATCGGTGTGAAGTCGTCTGGGCAGGCATTCTAAGACTGCATTATAGATGGGGGATAAGTAGTGTCGTAGCCACCCCCTCTGTTTAACGATGGCTGTTCCAGCTTGGCGCAAATGGCTTCTTTTACTCCTCTTTCAACCCATCTTTCCTCCCTGGCCAAGATGTGCACATTGCTGTCCTCAAAGGACCCTGCTGTCTCGGATGAGAGGCGAAACGTCTTCAAGAAACGCAAGCAGGTCCAGTTGCCTACAATATAGCACTTACGATTACCATGACCTGGATGACTGAGAATCTTCACCGGCAAGCATTCAGGGACTTCCGTCTGAAAAGATTTTAGTTGCCAGATATTATAATATTGTGAACCCTTACAGAGTTGTTGAGGTCACATATGAGCTCTGAGTTTCAGGGTTGTTAAGTCACGTGTCATTGATCCACCTGGCCATCATGTGTGTCCTTAGGGTTAGATGGGTGTGAAGTTGTCTGGAGAGGGATCCCAAGACTGCGTTGTAGGTGGGTGATAAGGGTAAATCTGGGTGCTGATTTGCAAATGTTAGCATGCTAACACACTGCACCCTTTGCCCACCAAATTAATGCAAGTATGCAGGTTTTTTTAAACGTGGGAAAACCTACTAAAATAGGCGATACAGTAGCGTGAGTGTCAGACTGAAGCTCTCAGAACCTTCAGTCTGACATCACCTCCATTGAAGGCGATTTACAAGGGGGAGGGAATTTGATTTTTCCCTAACCAATCAGTAGAGACCAACGACTCACCCAGAATCTGACGTCATTAGTATCCATGCCTCGGGGGTGTCGAAAACAAGCGGGCATTGCCCGTTTAAAATGTCTCCGTCGTCGTGAACGCCCAGCTGCATCGCCGTTAAATCCAGTTTAGCAGCTTCCTTAATTTGGTCCTCCATTAACGCGAGTAGTGGCGAAATACCTCAATAGCATCGTTAATGTGGTCTGTAGGATCTGTAGCGGTCGCCATCGTTGCTATCCTCACCAGTTACCCACGGGGGGACAGCTTGACATCAGCGTGGTGCTGATTGGCTAATCGCTAGACCCGCCCCCACCCCCAGCGTTCATTGGTCCGTCCATCTTTTGGACGAGATAAATCGCAAATTCATTGCAGTATGCCAGACCAGAGATGCAAGCCTACTCAGTTGAGTGGGCGGGGTCTATGGTCTGGAACCAGGCTAGCGATACAGTCCTTTCCATTTGCCATTAGACCAGATAAGTACGCTGTTCTGTTCTTTAAACTAGTGTCACATTTGACATCATGAATGCTCTGTCAAAAAAGGTTAGTAAACAGTAGAAAGCAGCATGGAGGCCGGGGAACGTGTTACAGTAGTTGCTCTTTTCTTATATTTCTTACTTATTACTTATCATGTCTGCTTGGACGGACATGGATTTGTAGGTTTTCCCTGCATTGAAAATATTTTGGTGGCTGCAAAAGCCGTTTTAGCCCTCTGCTAATGGAAAATCCCCTCCACCAAAGAGGGGTGTGGGAGCGGGGAAGAAAAATCTCAGTGCAACCACTCATAGTTCAATCACCATGGTTCGGACCAATAACAAGAGCCTGGTGATGCGACGTTAGACCAATAATAATAGATTTCTTTGATTCATCAAAGATCAAAGTAACGTGTTGAGCCCCACGCTTTGCGTCAGCTCAGAACGCAGGTGCTGGTGCGTTCACTGCCAGCCCGGTGACAAGCGAGATCTCAAGTGGAGGAGGAGGTGAGAGAGGACTAACAGGGCAGCTGATTCTCAAGGAGCAGGTGTGATCAAGGTTAGTAGTTTCTGTTTTAGGAAGAATGTACTGTATTATTTGGACCTCTCTTGTCTAATAGAGAAGCTATGGCATCGCTTAATACATTTGCATGATCTGTAAATGTATACCCCCCAAAAAGCCGCAGACATCACCACCAAATCCCCTTTCTGGGCCAGGGGGAAACCCTGAGCGTGTCATTGCTTTGTGCCAGAAAAGTGCCGAAAATTTGCGCATCCACCCGAGTGTCATGTTTCCATCACTAGTGCCAGAGTTAGCAGTAGATGTATGCTTCCTTCTGTGATATGTTTGGCAGGTGTAGTTCTGTAGAAAGAAAGTAGTTCCTACATGAAACTGCTCACAAGATCCGTGGATTATCTAAACTAACCGAATCATGATTTCCGTGTTTGGCCGATAAAATGTGAACGAGTGACATCAAAATACGAACCAGACAAATAAAAATAACGCCAGTGTTTCCACTCTCCAGCCCACTGTCCCTCCGTCTCAGGGCTTCCCACCCTTGCAGCAACATAATTGCTGCCAATTAGTTTGATTAGCCACTTGGACTCATTAGACAGTTGCCTTATCGGCTTCCTGAGTCACATACTCATCTAACGTTGCAGGACGATGTCGAAGACCCAACTTCACTCCTTCATCATTAATTAGAGAACAGTTCCATTGATGCTCATGAAACACTGGGAAACCTTCGCTCTTTAGCTGAACACTGGAGGAAACTTCAATCAAGGTTCAATTAAAGCCTTCATTTATTTATTTATTTATTTATTCATTGGAGATTATGCACTCACAGAACATACTGTGGGCATCACACACACCCTCATACACAGAGACACACATACACGCAAATCTCAGGTAGAGATTAGAGAACCGCCATGACGACACAGGAATAAATTAACATCATAAAACACATTTTCAGAACAGCACGGATAACATTCAACACAGCACACGTCACACATGTATCACAGCAGTCCTTACATGAATATCTCTTGAAATCGTCCTCATGCACCGTCTGATTCTCTGACAATAGGCCTTTGATATTTTCACATTATAATGTCTAGGTATACTTTTGTTCCCATCCCTGTTTTTTGGGAGGCAAATATACTGCAGTGTCATCTTTTACAGAAGTTAATGCATCCAGAGAGGTCGTGTGTGTGTGTGTGTGTGTGTGTGTGTGTGTGTGTGTCTATGTGTGTGTGAAGTCACTGCAGAAGCCGCACAGAGTTGACGTGGAGATGGTAGAGGAAGTCTGCATAGGACGCTCCTCCGTTGGGACTCTTGTCCTCCACCAGGTGTCGCTGCAGGGTCTCCTCGCAGGTGTCACCCTGCTTCACCACCAACAGCTGAGACAGAAAAACAGACACAGTCTTTTCAGCGTGGCTACAAGTCGAAGCAACATCAGTCAACACCCGCTGTGAGTAATTCATCCTGGTAAGACTTCAGTGTGGATGTCGAGGATGGTGTAAGAGAAAGTAACATGTCCTGCTTCTTTTTTTTTGGAGGTCAAGTCATGAATCTGTGCCAGCACGCCCTGAATATGACGCAGGGTAACAATAAAGTCCTCACACCAGGTCTGCACTGGAACAAATCTAACAGATCACTTTCATTCACCTTCTATGAAAAGACACATGCACACCACATGATGCAACTTGCGGTCCTCAAACCATTGGAAAAAATGGACAAAGCGTAATGCTAATGGTTGCCTGGGGGCGGGACTTACTGATGCGGTCAAGCATCTTCCAAACACGTTACTTTAAAAATGTCTTGACAAAGGAAACAAGGTTTGTTTGTTTGTTTGTACAATACATAAGGAAAGAATAAAAAATGAAACAGGTCACAGATGATCAATCTTCTGAAGCAACTGGAAATATTCTAGAGGATAATGTCATCCCTAAAATATCTGCAGAAGTAAAATAATTAAAATTTAAATTCTATTTTGAGTCAGGCTTTGTTGTTATAAGCATCATTTGACACCAAGCAGAAGACACAGCATACAATTTTTCTGTTTCCGTAGTTCAAATCTATTATAAATCTGACATGACATGAAAGCAGCATGAGGAGCAGCGCCAGGCTGTCAACAGAGGAGACGTTAATCAACTTGACATATTGAGACAGCGACTGTGTAATTTAAGGTCACAGGTGTTGGCCGACTCATGACGCCGTTGTTGAAATATAAAATCTCTGCCTTCAGCTACAGCAGGACGGTCAGCAGCTCACCTTGCGTGCACAGGGTGCCAGGGAGTTCAGTGTGTTGATGAGGGATCGAACACTGATGGACAGAGGGTTTTCAAGAACTGGCAGCTTGGTCTGAAGAAACACATAGACATGAAAACACAAAGCATTAGATTTAATGCTGCAGGATGAGGGCTGGGTGATATTGAAATTCCCCTACTGACAATACTGCTTTAAGCAAAACAACGATGTATGAAATAAGAATCCACAAAAAAGCTAAAAAGAAAGAGATGCACACAGATATAAATATCTATGGACTGAGACACATGTTGCAATACCCAGGAGTTGCCACATTACTGCAGTTCAATGCAGCGCTGAAGAACCATCTCCATGAGCTGGCTAACATCCAACACCAAGCTGTTAAACAACCCCAACAATCTCACACTGAGACAGAAATGGCTCGACCCTGTCGTTAAATCTGTAGTAGCCGTCGGGTAATGTTAGCCGTGTGATGCTAACAGTTAGCGCGTCACTGTGTGTATGTGTCTGACTATGTCCCAGACTCGGAGCTCAATTTTTGCAGCTATAGTCTCATGATAAACAGAGAGAGGAAGTTGAAAGTTGCACCGAATTAACAGAGAATTGCTGAATTTGTGTTGCTGTGATCACACCATTGCAACATCCTGATGGCTGATACTGCAATATCTGTCTGTTATGGTGGACACTTAGGACCATTGCTATGGCTAGTTGTCATATCATTACTGTCTGACCCATCCCAGACTGCTCGCTCTCCCCTTCTTAATAACTTTCTTTTAACATTACTCTACACTTCATAAAATACTGTTTATAGCTGACACTTAACAGTTTTATGTGCTTCTTAATCTTGCCACAAGCATCTTCTGATGTGAGAAGGTACGCTTGTATTACTGAATGACTGAAACCTGCGGCATTATTTTTCATTTTTACATTTTCTGTGACTTACAATGCTCGTTAAAAAATGTCTTCACGCCATTAAAATAGTAAAGAAGTCATTTTATCTGCCGGAGTTGCAGCGTTACATCTCCCTCATCTCTTACCTCTCCAGAGGGCAGGGAGGAGAAGCAGCTGGTGTTGAAGAGCTCGACCAGGGTGCATGCTGGGACTTGAGTGCCCACCCAGAGCAGCAGGGCGAGGGGTGCATGAACCAGATACAGACCTCTGGGCTCCAGGCTGGCAGCACAGCAGCGCAGCGCCTCCTCTGGGTTTGGAGAGCTGGAGCTGTCAAGTGACAGCGGCTGCAGGAGACAAATGAGGGAAAAGGAACTGATGTGTGCCGAAGCTACAGAGGCAAAACCAAAGTGATGCCAGGATTGTGATGTCAATGAAGTGTCAGTCATCCTCTGGTAATATCAGCAGATGTTTTTAAACTGAAAGGAAAGACTAATGCTTTGCTTCATGAAACACTAAACTAAATCCTCTCTCTTCGGACTGTTGCCCAAATTACTGATTGTACATCAGCATTTTCGTATGCCCGCCACCACGGACGCAAAAGGTCTCACTCATGAAATGTTAGTAAATCTGTGAGTAGATTTGCACATAACGAACCTCAGTACTAAAAACCTACACCGGATTCATGAAGGTTGTGGAAAACTCGGATTAGATCGCAGGCATATGTGTATGTTTATGAATGCCAATCAATCGTAAATTAACAGCACGCCAACACTAGTCAGCAATTAGCATACGTCCCCGTCCATGAATAGCCAGTGACCACCATATATGGAGGTGATAATTACCATGGACGGGTGTATCCCGTCGCCCTGTGAACATGGAGCAAACAAAGACACAGAAAGAGCTCTCTGATGCAGACAAGCGCATTGTTAGCCTCATCGGCGAAACCTCTCTGTCACTTTGCCCTCAGCCTCAGCATTGTTTGTCACCATTGTAAAATGAAACCACTATTCAAACATCTTAATGCAGGCAGTCTAATGTAGGAAATAACCAAGTGTTATGGTTAAAAACAAGCAGGATAATCTGACGTAAAACCACACCGTCCTCCTCCAACTCTCTGCCAGATTTGGGTTCACCAGCTGCCCAGTGTGAGCAGAGACAGACGCTGAATTGCTTTCCCACGTCCACAAGTCTCATAACCAAAACTTAATTTGAAAGAATGTTTACATCTCCCACGTCGCGCCTCTGATAATTAAACTAAACAAAAATGACATGCAGTTTGGTGCTGCGGTGCGTAAAGAGTGCAGAGGAGGAGCGCGTTGGTTTGTTCTTTCATTTATTCAGAGAACAGTGTTTTCCAGTTTTCTATTAAGTTGATTTAAATAACTCAATCACATTTTAAGAACCCTCATCTGAAGCTTAAATCTAACTAATCGTGTTATATTTCTAATCTATTGTCATGTTTAACTTACTTGTTTGAAAGATATCTACGAATTGTGAGCATAACAGAGCACAATATGAAATAAAACTGTAATTTCTAATGATGACAAGCAACATTTATGTGCAATAACTTGTCTAAACAAGCACTACTAGCAGTCAGCAGGTGTAGATTAGTTAGTACCTTCGAAAAGATCGGAGCTACTAACATATTGATGGATGCCGAAATACGGGTACATTTCCATCTGCGAACAGTTAACACACACATTTGCTCTGCTCACGTTTCATGAATGAGACCCAAAGAGTGTAGAGTCGGAAATACTTCTTCTTCTTTTTCTCAACTACCACGTGTTGATGGTACTGACCACAGGCAGCAGCAGAGGGTAGAAGTGTGTGGAGGTGCTGCAGGTGTCCATGCTGAGCACCTGGCAGCGCTGCTGCAGCCGCTGGTGGACGGAGCTCCTCAGGCCCGGTAGCAGTACCTCACTCTTCCTCAGACTGTTGATGTAAACAGGAAGTGCTCGCAGGTACTGAGGGAGGACCAGCTGCAGGACACACACACACACACACACACACACACACACACACACACACAGTACATTTGGTCAAGAAGATTTACTGTCATGTCTTATGCTATAGTTAGGTTTGGAGTGAATGTAAAGATTATGATGCCTGAGGGAAAACCTGGTTTGTAAAGTAATAAAGAATAGAGGTGCTGGCCTCAGAAGACTAAAGTCCTATTATTCTCTATAGAAACCCAGACAACATTTACACCTTTTAGACAACAGTGCATTTTTGTTTTTAAGAGTAAAAAGAAAACTTCACACTTCTGGGAGACATATATTTTACCTGTCCAGCAGACACTGAAGCAGAGCAGCAGTGCTTGCGGTAGGACGCCAGCGCTTCAGTTACCTCCGTCTGCAGTTCCTCCCTCAGCTCCTGCAGAGGGCGCTCCAACACTGCACAGTAAACTAGACAGAAACACCAAAACACAAATTAATGTTGTCATTAATGTATGTGACATTTTAAAATCAATTCCCTTAATTTCCGAATTACTGCAAACAAATAATAATAACACAATAATAACAGCACAGTTCATACAGCAATAAAATGAGAATATACACATTAAAGACAGAATAAGATAAATAAGAGTCAATCGTACACACACACACACACACACACACACACATAGAACATATGAATTATGTTTTATACCAATTCATTAAATAAAAGCTACAAAAATCTTAAAAAAAGTCTAAAAAGATTTTAAGATTTCGTTTGAAGCGGTCTACTGAATCAGAGAGTCTGACGTCCTCTGGAAGGCTGTTCCAGAAACGAGGACTGACGACACAGAATGCAGCATCACCGTACTTTTTAGTTCTGCTCTGGGGGGACATTTAGTAGTCTAGAAGTGGAGGATCTTAGGGATCTGGAGGGAATGTATTTGACAAATATATCAGACAAATAGTCAGGAGTCACTCCATAAGAGATTTAAATACTAAAAGCATAATTTTAAAATTAATTCTAAAATAAACGGGTGAGTACTCTTGGCCTGAGAATAAGACATCACAGTAGTCAAGTCTGCTGGAGATCAAAGCATGAACAGGTTTTTCAGTGTTTTTTAGACAAAAGAGGGCGCACACTGGCGATGTTTCTAAGATGAAGAAAAGGAATGTTTGATGACGTTTCTCACTTGGGGTTCAAAACACAGGTCGCAGTCAAAGATAACACAAAGGCTGATGACACCAAGATGACATCATAAGGTAGGCAGGGAGCTTCTAATGGCTTCTAAAATTTCTGCATTCAACACTGTGCATAAATTGCATTAAACACTAAATTTACAATTCAGATTTAGAGGGCAATCTGCAGGAGTGTTTCATAACCCAAAACTGGCTTTAGATTCTGAAAAATCTTCTTATGTTGAGGGAAAATGCCGTAGTCTCAATTTATAACAATATCCTATGTATGAAGAAATTTATAAATCATGCTTATCATGGACTCATTTGTTTACAGATCACATAATTGAGACATCAATATTAATTTGACGCTGACAGATAGATGTGTAATAGGGCTGGATGTCTCACCTCAGATTGATAATGATGATACTTTGCAAACTGCATATATAACATAATAATCTCTGATAATATTACAGAAAGTACAGTGTATATTATTTTTCTGTCCTGTTCTCATTATCATGAAGTCTAATTTTCCAAGCTTTCACATTATTTTTCCCAACTTATCGATCAAATCGATATCAATTTATTTGCAACAAATGGTGCTAATATTAATTAGCATTGCATTTATTTATATATTTCTTACGATATCATGCATAAATAATAGGGCTGTTCGATTATGGCAAAAATCATAATGACAATTATTTTGGTCAATACTGAGTCATTGATTTTCAAAATCATGAATTTATTTCTATACAGTGGATTTTCTGGATTACACAAGACAAACGAGAGCATCGCTGTGAAACGGAATGCAGCGCAATAACCGTTTTATCTCGATGATCTCGTTTTCGAAATCCTTGGAGGCCCAAAATGGTAACTGAAAATAACATTTGTTTGATCTACCAGCTCTGGTAAATGATGTATTAATCTACGGCACAAGATCCTTACTTTTTTTGCAGTAGAAGGTGAGCAGTGTTTGGGCCTGGTACTGCCGGAAAGCATCCTGTAGGTGACGAGAGCATCGCAGGGTCAGAGTGTGAATCCTGGTCCTCCTTTCTCCTTTCTGGGTGCTGTAAGACAAAACAGCCTGACGAACAGGAGGAGAAAGAGGAAAGTAAAGAGTATTAGAAAATGAGCACCAATTCAAATAAAACCCAACTTGGATTTGGATGACATGTAAAAAAAAAAAATTGTGAGGTGTGTAAATTCAACCTTTTTCTGATGCTCATGAATATAAACCCACCTGTATGGCCACACCTCTCGTCTCGTCCAGAGCTCTGGTGTGTGCGAGCTCCACAGCCAGTGTTGTCCTCCAATCAAGAGTTGCCATGGTAACCTGACTGGGGCTCGGCCCAGGGATGAAAAGTCCATAACAGCCGGACACACGCAAATCTGGTGAGGACGCGTACAAGTAGCGAAATCACATATGTTGTTTTTAAAGGACTCTGCCTGCATGATCACCACAAAAAAATCTCTTACCTTTACTGACAAAAATCCTGAGCTCAGCTTTGTAGCCTGTGTCTGTCTCTACAATCCCCTTCAGGTCAGTGCTGAAACGCTCTCTGTCCAGTTCTCCCTGTAGAGGGAGTCAAAGAGATACCAGACAATGAGACTCATACCAGAGACCTCCATCTCAATCATCACTTGTGACCCACAAGAAGAGTGTGGAAGTGTATTTATCTCAGAGACTCTGCCCTTTGTCTGTATTTTATCTTCCTGTGTTTGGGCGATCCTGAACACAGCACACAGGTGAGGTCGGGACTTAATTAAAAGGTAGCGGCCAGGTGCCAGACCAGCCTGCATCTAAGAGAAAGCTACTAATTCGTCAATACAGCATCAAAATACACAAATAAAGCGAGGTGAAAACTGAGCAGAGTGAATCTGAGGTTCATGTTTACCTTTAAAAACAACAACACAAAATTGTTTTTTTTTTACCATGTGCTGAGCTAACCAGGCACGGGCTGTAACCTTAAACTTAGCGGACAGAAATAGCAGCAATCATCTCATCTAATTTTTTTTTTTTAAAATGTCAGACTATTCCTTTAAACAAAAGACCACAACAGCAAATCAGCTGTTGAACTTTAGGATTTCTTCTTTACGTAGTTAATTTTGTGCTATTTCCAGTGCTACAATAAGAGTAGCTGTTGATATACCTGGAGGTGGCCGTAGGTGTGCAGAGCTCCACCTGTTAGATATGGTATGTGCCCTGGCCAAGCCCCACCCACATCCTGCTGGGAGAGGACAAACAGGTGAACGCTGCACCCCTGACTGACGCACTCCTTGGCCAATGAGAGGGCAAGATCTGACGGCTGAAAGATGGACTGGAAAAAAAAACAAAAGGAGAGGGAATTAATGCGACCATACAACCGCGAAGCTGCTGTTGCAATCGTCCCACCCGTACAGGAAGCCAGCTGTGTGTGTGTAAGTGATGAGTGTGTACCTTTGGTTTGTTGGAGCCAAAGAACCCTGAGGATGAGTTTGTGTGTCTCATTTCTATCAGAGGGGCCGTATGGAAGATGAGCAGCTTGCCAGGACAACTCAGGGCCTGGAAACAAACAAAAAAATAAACTCCTCACATCGTATCATGTCACGTAAAATGAAGTTGTTGAGAGGGGGATGCCGTTAAAGTGGTAACATAACATCCCTGCCTCTATTTACTGGCTACGTTTACATGCACAAAATATTCTGGATTTTGCATTTATCCTGAAAAGGACAATATTCCTACTAAGCTGTTTACACGGCTAATGAAAATTAATATTACACTAATACTTGCATGCAACTGTGCATACTCCAATGCTCTAATGTGTCCTTTATCACATCAAAATATGTAGAAGTGGAACAGCTGGAGCCGCTTGTAAGATCACTGCTGTTATGTTTAAAGGGATAGTGCACCCACAAATGGAAATTCAGCCATTATCTACTCACCAATATGCCGATGGAGGCTCAGGTGAAGTTTTAGAGTCCTCACAGCACTTGCAGAGATCCCAGGGGAGAGGGGGTAGCAACACAACTCCATCTAATGGAGGCTTAAGGCACCCCAGATTCAAACGCAAGACCAGCGAAAGCATGTCAACACACATGAACGCGGTAGCCCATGTCTCATGGTCTCGCGCAAGCGCACACACGTGAGCGCGGTGCACAGAGAGGCAGTCAGAGCTACAGGCTACAATGAGGCTAAAAACAGAGTTCACATGACGTTTTTAAAACAACTTTTTATGTCGGGGCTTCAGGACACTTGGATCACTACGGACAAGCAGTATGGAAATACTTTTTGATTTCAATTATGTATTTTTGGACGTTTGAATCTGGGGCGCCGTAAGCCTCCATTAGGTGGAGTTGTGTTGCTACCTCCTCTCCCCTTGGATCTCTGCAAGTGTTGTGAGGACACTAAAACTTCACCTGAGCCTCCCTCGGCATATGGGTGAGTAGATAATGGCTGAATTTTCATTTTTGGGTGCACTATCCCTTTAATAACCTCCAGCATCTATATAAAGAGAGGGTCACCTCTAAAGCTCGGTCTGTTGTTTCAGACTCTCAACATCCCCTCCATGTTGATTTCAAATGCTTCCATCAGGCGGGAGGTTTTGCCTCCCGAAATGTAGCACTAAGCGCTACAGATCGACCTTTGTCCCATCTGCTATCGCTTATCTTAACCAGCAGTGACCATTTATGTACATGATTTACTCCTGACAGTGTGTGATACTGAATTCTGTGTGTTATGTATTGTACAGTCTGTTTTGTTTTACTTATGACTACTGTCTGTATCTCAAATTGCCCCTCTGGGACATTTAAGTTTTACCTTACCTTACCTATCCAAAAACCTGTTGATATTAAAGTCTTTTATAATGTTTAAAAAGCAGTTGTGTTTCCTCTCCTGACCAGAAATGTGAGCTTTCTTTTGGGCATGCATCTCTACCCCACAGCCTTGCAAACTTTTGGCTAGCTGTTTTGTGTGCATCGCATTCATGACGACACACAGAGCTGACGGCAGACAGGCACGATGTTGTGTGTGTCACAAACTGCGGTAGAAAGCTCAGCTGAGATGCATATTCCAAACACGCTGTATACATGTCCAAAGAATGCACCTAAATCCTGACAAATACCGGCATATGACATACGTCTTAATCAGAAAATGCTTCATTCAGTATGCTGTTTGTATGACTTGTATCACATGCAGAATATTGTCATATTTGGAATAATTGTGGAATATTAATGTGCATGTAAATGTAGTCACTGACAGCTTGATATTTTTTCCTCCTTGTGCAGCCAGAATAAATACAGGAGAGACTTTGAATAAACTTTAAATACAACCCATCAGAGTCTGTGCAGTGATTACTGACCTGCAGTACGGCTAGCCCTGCTTTGACAGGCAGCTCCATGGGAACACCAGTACAGTCATCACACTCCGGACTAAACTGAGGAATGAGCTGCAACACACTAGACACACACACACAACAGACATGTATCACTTTACACCAAAGAATACCAAAGTGATTAAATCATTTGCAGCAAAGTAGCAAAAAACGTCACTTTCATTTGCGAGGAATTACCTTCTGGGCCTGCAGAAAATCTTACAAAAGTGATCATACTGAATAAAATGCTTTATATAAGGGCAAAAGATGCCAATCCACAGTGCAGGAGGAAGAACTCCTTATAAGAGTGATGTATGAAACTGAGCAGAATCATGTGTACAAGATAGTGCTTCTACTATTTCAGTTCAGCAAACAGACTCTGCAAAATACATCTGACAAAACGGTCAGTCAACACGTTTGTTACCTGTCGATACTGTCTATACAGTCTTTGAGGGACACCAGAAGCCCCTCCCTCACAGGAAGCTGCAGGTCTTCTGTCTCCGTGATGACCAGCATGTGCGGGCGGGACAGGGCGGGGCTGAGGTCGTACAGGTGGATCCTGCTGTCGTACGTCATCAAACCAACGCGGACGTCCGACAAGGCATCACCATCCTCCCTTCACAAATAAGATGACACTTTAAAGACAGCTGGCTGGAATCCAAATTGAAGACCATTGTCCCCATTTTCCCATTATTTCCAAACCTGCTTAAGGTTACAACTGAGCAAGCTGTGAAAAAGTGTGTGTGTGCATTAATAGTTAGGTGTGTGAGCATGTTTTACCTCTTCAGAGAGGTGAGCAGAGTGAGTATTTGTTGTGTTGCGAACTCCAAATGTCCTCCTCTCAGTGCTGAGGCAGACACATCTATGGCTAGAAGCAGGGCAGCAGGTTCACCCTGAGATAAAGTACAGCAGTTTACACACACACACAACTTTCCCGGTAAAATTCTGACACAACCAAAGGTCTTTGAAGGACAACAGGAATGTAAATATTTTAATCTATAAGGCATTTTCATAGTGCGACAGTACAGTTATGTAAAGACCTTCCACAGAATTTTTCTAATACTTAAGATTTCATTCTTCCACTGTTACTCCCACATTACATACTTGTCCTTCTTTACAAGAAATTATGGCTGCAAGTGTAATACGTTGATTATTTTTCAAAGGCTTACTATGCAGGGTTTTTGCTTACTGTTTGCAAACGCAACATTTAAACTTGACCGCTTCTCCTACTTGGCTCAACGAGACTGACAGTGCAGTGGTGGTCAAGCGCGTTAGAGAATAAATGAAGAGGGGGAGTGTCGATTGGCGAACACAGCAGTAAATCAGATTGTTTCATGGTGCTTATGTTCTAAACGTCATGCTTCATCCTGTCCACTTCGCTTCTCTGCTCTGTGTGTGTATCGGTGGCTCAACCTTGCCCTAAATCAAACAGACACCGAAACCTTCAGCTCACATCCACAGAGCAGAAGATAGAAACGCAGACAGCAGTGTAAACTTGTTGCTACGTTGTCCCTACCTCGTGCTGCTATTGGCTACGGGCTACACACGACTACCGAAAGGTTGACACCCAGAGACGTCCTGACAAACCCGGATAAGAGTCTATATATTGTTTATTTTAGGAGGATCCTGCATAGTATGCCTTTAAAATTACTTAATTAAATAATGTGGTCCACAAAATGTTAGAAAAGTGCACAGGTTCCCAGAGCCCTGAATGAAATTGTCAAATTGCCTTTTTTTGGTCCGACTTCCAGCCCCTAAACCCCAAAATATTCAATTTCCAAAGATACAAAACATAGTATAGCAACACATCGTCACATTTAAGAAGCTAGAATCAGCAAATAATTGGTGCTACTGCTTGACAAATGTCCTAATAATTAACTTATAATTGGAGGATATCAGCTTTCAGAAATCCTCACTAATGGGAGGTCCCAAAATATTTATATTTTGAATACTCTAGCATTATTGGACTAGGGAGTGTGTCTCATACATTAAGTATCCAGATTGCAGTATACATACAGATATACAGGAGATATCTTTAGCGAAGCCCACTTTCAAGAGCAGGTATAAAGTAATGTGCAAATAAAACTAACAATTGTAGCAGGTGAAACTAACCTGCTGAGAATTGAGGATTTCGTATGACCCCATACTGAGTTCAGGCCTCTTGTCTTTATCCACCCGAACCCCCTCCACCCCTTTGGTGGGCTGGTAGTGTTGCCATGGCACTGGGACACAAGAGAGGAGAGAAAAATTGTTGCTGCATGTTGGAAAACTACGTTCAGGGAAGTTGTGGCAGTTTAACGCATTGAAATGATTTTGAAATTTGAACATGAACATGACCTGATGTTCAATGTTAAATCTTACCTTCACTGAGTTTACCACAGAAGGGGCAGTAAAACCTCTGTCCACAGTCCTGCCAGCCCATCACCGGGCACATAGAGGCTCCGCAGCAACTACAACCCATAACACACTCTAACTCCTTGCACACTGGCAGGGGCTTCTGGTCGCAACAAACACACACATTCACATTAATACATGTTTGTACCTCCAAAGGCACATGAATTAACTGTAGGATTACAAAAAAGGCTTCACTTCCATGCAAACAGCTCTGTGGATATTTCTTATTTCTGTCGTTTTGAGTCCTTGTCTTGTTATTGCTGCTATTTCCCCTATAAATATATTAACATAGAATAAGCAGAGAAGCTAAACACTGACCTCTCCGGCATTTTGTTTTGCCAGAGGGGTGAGCAGAGCCCCCAGCGGCAGACGGCTGAGCAGGGCAGTCTGACCTTCACAGGGCACACAGTACGAGGCGGAGCGGATGGCTAAAGGACTCGCATTACCTTGAGTTCAACAGGGACAAGGTCAGGAATGACATGAGGTTTGGGTTTGAGTACGGTGAAAATCAACAAAATAAAAAAAAATACACATCAACACATTAGAATATTACATTTGTAATCCAGAACTTAATCGTAATTGTTTAACCTCTTACACAAACAGGACAGGAGGCACACAGGAGTTGTCACAATCCTTTCTTCGGTCTGACCAAAAGCTCTAATATTATTACTGTTTAACAAAGCAAGGCTCCATTTTCTTGGATCAAATATGCGTGTGTTACAAGTTTTCCTCTTGTGTTACCAATGCTTGATTTACCTCCATCTGTAATGTGTGTAAGAATCTGTAACAGTACAAAAAACATTCACTGTGCAAGGAATAAATAAATTTCAGTCACACCCTATGCTGTGAGTGATGTTGATGCGGTGTGACGTGCGCCATCTGGACCCACAGTATTGGATAAAATACATTTGAACAGAGCACATCTCTGTGACACAGATACAGACAGTGTTGCATACGCTTACCTCTGTCCTCTACGACACAGGAAGTAGTTGCCAGAGGAGGAAGACGGGAAAAAGGCTCTGAGACGAACACCTTTCCCTCCCACTCTGCCCTGTCCTCTGCAATCACCTTCACCTGAGACAGAAAGAGGTGTAACCTCGTCAATGAGCAAGAGTGTGGTGACATTTTACTATATTTAAATGGAGGCAGGATCTATTATAAAATATCTATATTCATATATTTATAGCCTATATATATGGGCATGTGTGAAATTACTTATAAGCCCAAAATATTCTCCAAGAGTCGTGGAGCATCACAGAAATATATTATGTTAGGACCCTTTACTTGCAACACTTGCTCATGTTTTCAAATGATGCGATGCTTCATGATGCTGCAAATGCGTGTTGCACTCAAGGGTAACCAGAAAGACACTGGAAATACTATTTCATCGTCAGAGGAGCTGCAGAAGTCCGTCAAGAAAAGATGTGACGAGAGAGAATGAACAAACTTACAACACTGGGCAGGAGCTCTGGGTCCAGGCCATAACGAGACTCAGAGTTAGGAGACTGCAGAGAGGAAATTTAACAACTCATTCAAGATTTAAGATTTATCAAGTAATGAAGTGGTAATTTGTGTCAGCAAGAGTTTCTACATTCAAGATTTTCAATGCTGTTACTGTATTTCCCCACCTGTGGCATGATGTTCCTGTCCGGTGCAGCAGCATTGGGAACAAACTCGTTTATGGCTCCTGAAGAGAAACCAGAGGAGTTACACAAGGGACTAGAGTATTTTATTCTGAACGGAGTGGACTGTTTTTGTTCAGACTGCAACACTTTTATGAAAGATGAAAGACCCTGGATGATCTGGCTAGCCTGTGGCCACTGGTCTGCAGCTGTTATTCCTTCTCTGAATTTTACTGACCGATGTTGCGCATCTTTAAAGTACTTTGTAAGTCATTTTACTTGAATGATCACCTCCTACATTACAAACAAACTTTACCTCTTGAGTGTGCTGCAAACGTCCACTGAGGCTGCTGTTGGATGGGAGAAGTTGGCGAGGCATGATTGTGCGTGTATCCAGCAGAGGACTCCACATTTGCCCTCTCAAATGCATGCTGAGGCACACACGGCTGACTCTGGTTTGCACATTGTCCAAATGACGGCGAGCTAATGGGTAGATGATTTTGATGTGGTGACTGAGACCCATTTGGTGAACTGTGTTGTGTGTAAGAGAGCTGGAAAGGGGGGGATATTGCTTGGTGAGGGCTGTGAGGGGGGTAAAATGGCATTTGTTGCTTGCATGGCTGCATCCCTTCGATCGTAAGAGGGAGAGAACATGGAGGTATATTTCTTCCTTGGCTTGCAGCTGCATCCATGGATGAAACATGAGCATCAGGAATGATCTGCTGCTGATCAGCACAATTAGAATATGGCGCGCTGTGATGAGCGTGGCTCTGGTTGGACGCCTGCAGGTGGCTGTAGAGGGGTCTCTGGTCAGAAGGCGAGCTCAGGCTAAGATGCTGAAAGCCGGGCAGAGGGTTGCAGGAGGGTCCTTGAGGTGAAGCTGGGAACCAGCCGTTCTGGTCCGCCCACGGCTGATAGGGTGTCTGGCTCTGATTGGCTGTGGGGACGTCCATCATCCTCCATAACCATCACTGATTGGTGTGTTTCTCCTTGGAGGCGGGACCTAGCGAGGCAAAACATCAGGGTCGTGATGCGACTCTCAGCTGTTACAGGCCAAAATGTGTTACTGGCTGTGGTTTCTGTAGACACCTTGCAACCATTATTAAGAAAAATGTTGCTTTGTTTGTGAGAATAACGCTCCTGCTTTATAAACATTTGTCACAGTTAATCTAGCTACAAACAACGTCATCTAAAGGCAGTATCATAAGAGCAAAATGTTACTATCATTAGCTTGTTCTGTGGAATTCTGTAGTTAGCTAACACTATTATCCCACAGCACAGAGGTGCTCTCCTGAAAGTCTCGACACGGTCAGGGCGAAATAAAAAGCCACCCTGTGTTATAAGTATTAAAACATTAGGTACCTTTAGACATCAACGGAAACAGAGGGCTTCGCGTGCGGCACTTGTTCGTTACCGTTAGCGTCTTCATTTCCTCCTCTGCGACGGAAGCGACGCGCTTCAAAGGTTACAAATCCATTGTGTTGCTCCTCTTTTACATTATATCAAAATTAAATTCCACGGCAAGAGACCGTCACATGATTAGCGTTAACCTTAACAGCACACATTCGTGTACCCGAGCCTTAGCTCCAATGTTAGCATCAAGTTAGCAGAATCACGACAACGCATTTCCGGGTTTCCTTTCAAAGTAAAAGTCTGCGATACCAGAAATAAACAGCATTGAAAAATAATTAAAAAGCTATTAACAATCACAGCAGTAAAACAAATTATACTGGGTTTCTTTATTAAATTACATATAATTTGTTGTCTGTGTGCGTTGTTGGATACAATCAAGACAATCCAAATACATTTTTTAATATAATTATTAATACTCGATGCACCTTTTACGCCACTAGTTATTTCAATTCAATTCAATTCAGCTTTATTCAAAGTGTAAAATCACCATAAACATGGTCTCGAAACACTTTACAGTTCACATTGAAAAAAAAAATACATTAGAAAAATACAAATTACAAATAAAAAATACAATTCACAAACAAGCACAATTATTTACAAAAAAACAATTAAAATAAATAAAAAAGCGCAATCAAGTTGTACCATATGCTTGGGAAAATAAGTAGGTTTTTAGTCTCAATTTAAAGATGTCAACAGATTCTGCATCCCTTACTGATTGGGGGAGCCGGGTCCACAGAAGTGGGGCACGGGGGGAAAATGCTCTACCACCTGCTGATTTTTTGTTAACTTTGGGGACTGTGAGGTAGTTACCATTCTGTGAGCGGAGAGCACGTGTTGGAACGTATGGAATGATTAGTTCAGATAAGTATGGGGGTGCTAGGCCATTTAAAAACTATAGTTACTTTTAGTTTAAGATTTTACACAGAAAAATCTGAGTTTATAAAATAATACACTGTTAAAAAATACCCAACACATAATGTACATTTACTTTGACATAAATATATAAGATGGTAAATTAGCTCCACTATAATGAGCTACAGTAACATTAAAATGCTGCTGACATGTTAATAATGCAATGCGGTTTTAGTCCTGGCTGTGGACCAGCTCTTTACTCTTGTGAGGCTGCTGGAGGGGTCATCGGAGTTTGCTCATCCAATCTATGTGTTTTGTGAACTTGGAGAAGGCCGGCTTATGACCGCATCTCTCGGGGAGTCTTGTGGGGTATACTGCAGGATTACAGGGTACCGGAATCGCTGCTACGAGCCATCTGGTCCTTGTATGACCAAAGTGAGAGCTGCTTCTGCATATTTGAGATAAAGTCAAACACGTTCTCTGTGGGTGTTGGCCTCCACCAGGTAATCCCTCTCTGCAATATGTATGGACTCGGGATTGCATCTCTGCTTTTTGCAGATGATTGGCTTCATCACACTGTGACCTCCAGGATGCATTGGGGCTGGCTCAGCCTTAGAGATAGGGTAAGGAGCTTGGACAACTGGAGGAGGGAGCTTAGAGTCGAGCCGCTGCTCCTTGGTGTCGAAAGGAGTCAGTTGAGGTGGTTTCCGGATGCCTCATGGGCACCATTCACTAGTAGGAGGCCCCGGGGCAGAACCACCACTGCCTATCCTATATGACTATATGTCATATAGGATAGGCAGTATATATATATATATATATATATATATATGTCATTCATACTTACAGGGTCAGAGATACAGTAGGCCTGATAGGGTGGCACCAATTAGTGAAATACCATGTGTCCACACTTCATGAGTTAACTACTGGTAACTCTTTTTAAAAATTCAGACTGCTACAATATTATTCTCGGAACTTTATTGGTGGCAAGTTGTTCTACAAAACACAGTATGCCAGTATACAAAAGAGAATAACAAAATACAGTATACCACATAACATGGTCACAGAAGTTTAACCTACAACTCCAAAAACATACTAATTGGCCATCAGCTAATTAGACACATTATTCGTCAGTATGCATGAGCCATCTCTGTCCAAATTCACTTTATAAAATGAAACAGAACCACAGTGACAGATATGCTATAATCATACAAAGTAAGAGTGATGGCAGCTGCAGAAAAGACTGCGAACCATAAACCACAAATATGAGCAATTATCAATCTGTTCTTGGTCATCATAATGGATGTAAATGCTCACAATGTTGCATAAGAGATGCAGATGGAGACTGAACAACCGAAAGACCAGAGAATGGTGAGGGATAAGAAAATTGACTCAACAGACTTTGTCATGGACAAAATATCCCATCTATAACTGCTGAAAATGTCCAGTACTCTGCTGTGGTTCCACTTGACCAGACCAGTTCCTGTTTGAGGATGTAGCTTGGGAAGTTCTGCTTTGCCTTTTTAGGGCAGTGATCCTGTTTCGGACGTAGTCCTTCACACCTTTCCATGTCCGGGTCTTCAGTGCTTCTGGCTCAGCCTCAAGACACTGAACGCAGTCGTTTTTCTGAGGCAACTTGTGTTCTTGAATCAAACGCATCAAGTGTCTCTCAACAGCACAAACCTCTGCTTCCTCCCATTTATGTTTTCCCTGATTCTGGAAGCCTGTAGGTTAAAAGAGAAATGAGACTAAGACTAGTCTTATTGTCATCATGGACATACTTTTTGTATTGGGTGGACAATAAATAAAAACTCTTGGAGATACTTTGGAAATACTTTGCCTCAACACCCCTCTGATCCTTTTCTTATCAAAGAAAATCTCAGTCAAACTTTCCCACAATTAAAAAAGAAAAGGATAGAGTGTCTGTTAATGATCGCCATTACTACCTTTGTTGTCTGACTTGACAGATCTCGTTGCTCCATGTGCTTGTTCATGCAAAATATCTGCTAGTCCAAAGCGTGCACCGGAATCCTCATTGAGATCCCATGTTGCAGCTTGTTGTCCTCTCTCTGCATTTAAGACAAAAAATAAAGCAAGTCTTCTTTTACATATCCCATCAACCTATGCACACATTTCTTACACGTTACTGCAGAGAAGCCAGAGAAATAACTGCCTCACAGGACAGCACCCCACACAAGTTAATTTGCCAAGATTTTGTGTCATATTACATAAAAACAGGTCACAGCACTAATATCTACCCACTTACTTGTTATTTATTGTCATAAATATGATTACAAAACCGGTTATGACCGTTGAAAACCTTGGGACTTCAGCTCCCTCCAATAATTCAATTAATATGTATTAAAAAACACACAAAAGAAACAAAAGAGAATCTAAGACTTTAGGTAATGGAAGTTAAATAATGGGATAAATTAAAACACAAAATAAGAAATAAAGTGCCAAATTAATGGTATGCAGATTTTTATGTCAGAACATCAACGAACACCACTGACCACTCGGTGAGTTTCATGGCTTTGAAAACGAACGTTTAGGGTGGTTTTAGGACAGATTCACACATGGCCATAGACAGCAGTGTTAAGCCAGGCAGGGGAAAGCCAAGTTCTCCGAAAATGAGCAATTGTCACAATTTTGGTGTTAGCCACTCTATTTCATCATAAACAACCCAGAAAAAGCTATGTGCTCTTGGAGGAGTTCTGCTAACAGTCCTGTGTGTGAATTAGCGAGTTAAAAGCCATCCAGAAAAGAGCGCTTGCAGTGGCCTATGCAATGACAGTACATCATGACTGCACGCCACCTTGTATTTGCTGAATCTGTTTCCTTTGCACTTAGTCGCATTCAACTTTTATTGTAATATGAATTATTCTACCTCCCCCAAGCATTTTTCTTTTCAATATTTTGAGATTTGAGATAGTGTTTGGCTATTAGCCTCACTATATTTGCATTTTTTCAGCACAGTGTCTGTGATTTCTGCAGCTTCCTCTTCAATGCGTACTGCTTACAGTCTGGCATCTGGTTGCTACATTTATACAAAGTCCCAAACTCACCTGCTCGCAAAGTCCAGAGACATCCAAAACACTGAAAAAATTAGAAGAAATAAAGAAAATACAGGCAAAGGGCAGAGTCTCTGCAGAGACTGCTCCACACACTTCTAGTGGGTCATAAGTTAAGACTGAGAGGGATCACTTTTGCATCACTTTTGCACAAGTCTATACATCGTTTTTTTAGGAGAATTCTGCATAGTGTGTCTTTGAAGCTGTATAGCTGCCGAAATACTGGTTAAAATCACATTCTTTTGTGATTTACAGTATGATGGCTGTTCACACTAAACTTAATTTATTCCTAAATGATGTAAAACCCTGGCTTTGGCATTTTGGCATTTACACTTGTAAACTGTATAACAAGGAAAAAAAGATTCTTACCATCAGATTCCATTTCAACATCATTCAGCTGCGTGCTGCTGTCCTGTCGCAGGTTTCGGACTTGATTATTAGGCCCTAAAATTTGGTCGGCCTCATTGTCATCCAGGTTCATCAGCTGTAGCATTGTTGCGTAATGCTTGGGGATCTTTGAGGATTTCAGCGCTTCAGGGTTTTTAGCTCCACATGCTTTGACATACGTTTGGATGCATTCTGACCATCTGTAGAAAGACAGCGCATGTGGTCGTCCAAACAGATAGGGGTTCTTACTGGGTACTCCACACGTGTCCCGCACATTTACGAGAAGCTCCAAAGCTGACACGAATGATGGTTTCAGTAAGACAGGGACCGTTCTCCCACACTTTCCCCGTATGTCAACTCTAGTGAAGAACCCACACATGGTTTTTTCCAAATCTGAGACGGATACGTCCATGCCATCGTGCAAGTTTGACTTCTTCCGTGACATAAAAGCCGTTAGCGGCATCGACGCTACCTCTAAGGCACTTCTCCTGTTGAAAAGTATTGTCCGAACAAGCACAACCTTTGCCAGAGCAGCATAGTTTTCTGCAGAAGGGCTGTCTCTGAGTTTTTCATCAGCCAGAAGATGAACATTCTCCATGTGAAAATTCAGGCGCTTTACATCTTGAGCAAATGGCACCTTCTTTTCCTTGTTCAATTTTGCTTCTCTGAGTGATGTTAATGCACCTCCAGAAATGAGCTTGTTCCAATTTTGCTGGTAAACAGAGAGGAAGTTGCGGGCAGACTCTGCCAAACTTGCATTGTTGCACTTCACTGCATTACCTTCGACAATACTACAGGTCTTCTGTAGGTGGTAGCCCAGCTTGATGGCAAGTGAAGGAACACTGTATGTTTTGTTTTCCGCATTGTAGCCTGCCAGAACGTTCACTGCAGACACCACATGTGGGAAGTTTGAAGGGAGAAAGAAGTCTTCCAGTTTCTCCAGAGGGGTTATCTTTTGAGCTTCGAGAACAAGTCTCGCTATCTGACGAATGTTTTGTCTTATGTATTCATGTTTCTTTGGATCAGATCCGTACTGATCAAACATGAACTCACCATACTGCAAGATAACCCCATCCTCCATGACAGCTCGTGTCGCATCATCGTATATCATCTGGGACAGGACGCTCTTAAAACCTTCACTTATCCCAAGGTCTCCTAAAGTTTCCAGCACACACTGCGATGCAATACGGCTTCTTCTTATCTCTGATTCATCTTCATTCTCCACTTTCTCCGGGCACGACTTCATGTGTCTGGACAGAGCTTTCCTCACAAAAAGACCTCGACAGTAAAGACAATGAAGAAAGTCTTCGGCTTTATGACTCTTTCTCGGCCTTTTTCGGGCAACAAGTTGGCCTTTCCCAGATTCCATGACATCTTTATTATGAGCAAAGTTTCCTTGATTAATTAGTCTGTTCCATATCTTTTGTCTCTCTCTGGAACTTTGGGGATACTGAAAAGCGGCTGCAACTTCTGTTTTGTCACTGTGGATCCTCTCAAGATGTCGTGCCATTTTGCATACTGGCTTAGCGCAAAACAAACAGTAATTCCTCCTGTCATAAACACGTCTTCCTTTGGAATTTGAACTTGGCAACACTACAGCTTCAGAGGACCTCTTCTTTGGTTTAGTTGTACGGATCTGTTTTGGAGGAATGCCACTTTTGTCCTTCAACAAAGAACTTCCTAATTTAGCCCTCTTTTTTTCTGGCACAGACGGTCTTTTGTCTGTAGGGGTCGAAGTCCTGCTGTGACTGGATTCATCTGAAGAGCCTCCATCATGGTCAGACAGAAAATCAGAGAACTCACGATCACTGTAGGGCAAGTAATCAGGATCACTGTCATACTCCGACTCCGCTGAGGCATTTTCTTTTTTCTACAAAAAAAAAAAAATAGAAGAACATGAAGATGAAAGACAATTATATGAGGAAATAAGGTCACTAACAATCTGTGATTGCAGAAATCATCGATCTAACATTTAATATTTCAAAGACACAAATATCTTAATACTAATTTAGCACCGCTTAAAAAAAAGATGCATTTAAAAGAATACTTCATCCTTAAAATGACAATTTGTATATTAATTACTCACTGAGTGTAACATTAAATTCAGGAAAAATCTTACTGGCATGCCACGGTGAACGGAGAATCCAAAAAAAGGGAATATTCTCCATTGTTTAAAGTTGTAAGCTCAGTGTTTCCCTTACACATGCATGCGCTAAAACTTTATGAATTAAAATACTTCTGTCTACAAGTAGTGCACCCTAAGAGTGCCTGATTACATGCATGTGTATGAGCTGTTTTTGAGCAGAGTTCCATTGCACATGTTTGCCCAGGCATGCTACTTGGCCGTGCATGAGACAGTCTGTACTGATGTGTTCTAAATCATGCTGGTTTAGCAAAAATGCATGTGTTTAGAAAGTACTGAGCATGCAACTGGATGAATGAGAACTGGATTATACTGCAGAAGTTGTGTGAAAGTTTGTAAACAGATGTTTTGATAGAGTTTTGCTGTTGTTAAATACTTTCCACATTGACTTTAAACAATGTAGAATATTCACCTTTTTTGGATTCTCCGTTCACCGTGGCATGCCAGAAAGTTTTTTCATGAATTTAATGTTACACTCAGTGAGTAATTAATATACAAATTGTCATTTTAAGGGTGAAGTAGTGTGTGTCAGCGGATGTTTTGTGATAGTTTTGCTGTGTTTTTTAGGATTCTTCATTCACCATAGCCCCTTTTACACTGGCGAATTTTTTTTTTGGCGAATGTTGGACCATTTTGCCGAAAAGCTGCGTCAGTGTGTGTCAGCGGATGTTTTGTGATAGTTTTGCTGTGTTTTTTAGGATTCTTCATTCATCATAGCCCCTTTTACACTGGCGAATTTTTTTTTGGCGAATGTTGGACCATTTTGCCGAAAAGCTGCGAGTGTTTAGACACACAGAGCTGGATTGGCGAGTTGATCCGAGGTGCCCAATTTTCTGCCTCGTAGGGTAGACATATTGGCAGAACCTTTTAAGTTTAAACAGACCGAGGCGCCCTTCTGCATTGGGAGGAGACTTGTGGGAGGAGCTGTTGATGACGCCACACGTGCAAGCCACTGGCGGTGGATAAACAGGAAACAGGTGATAGCAGGAATTAGCGAGCAGCTAGTAGCAAGAGGGAAACGGAAACCTTACAGACACTGTAAAGATGAGCAACTGGGGAGACAAGGAATTGTGCGCCCTCCTTGTCCTCGCAAACAAAGGCCATTAACCATCAGATGACGGGAACGGTGAGGAACGAGAGAGCCAACGAGAGAATCACCGAAGGACTGACTAGCTGCGGCTTCCCTCCCACGCCACTGTTTACGTCACACGTTGAGCTACACGTTTTGTTACTTGCTCACGCCCCCCACTGCCCCGAAAAAGGCACATTCTGTTAGGGGTGAGTATTGGCAAGGACTTCACGATACGATGCGTATCACGATACTTGGGTCACGATACGATAGTATCACGATATCATGATATATTGCGATATTCTACATAGTTTAAATTAAAAATAGAGATGATAACACAAGTTGCATGTATATCAGATGATTTTAATTATTCAGAGGACAAATTGAGTCAAAACTATTTGAATCAAAACAACCGTTGCATTTTATTGTTCAAATTTATGCTAATCTTTTTCACTGAAAAAGTATTGAAAATAAATGTGGTGTTACACACTGCAATTGAAATCATAAAATAAAGTGTTAGATGAGTTCTCAAGTTTGTTGTGTTCCCACAATATTTCACGGCAGTGAGACAAAGCTTGCAAACGGCATTTTCTTTATCCAACTCATTGCTTTTACTCCCTTTTTTGACTTGGAATCCAAAGTGTTCCCATACGTTCACTTTGAACTGCAGAGGCGTTGTAATGGTGTTAGCCATGCTGGCTTCTGTTTACCTCAGCCGCTATGACTGCCTCTACTACAGCAATGCTGCTGCGCCGCGCAGCAGTGGCTCTTCCGCGCCATCTATCGGAGTGGAGGTCCTACTGTATTCACAGCGCCTCTAAATTAAACACGAATAATTAATTTAATAAAAAAACGATATTAGGAGCTGAAAAATCGATATTATATTGGGCGGCTGAGTATCGCGATATATTGTCATATCGATATTTTTTCACACCCCTACATTCTGTATAAACAAAGGTAGGCGGCATTTTGCTGCACTCCCCGATTTTGTTTTTATACTGCCAATGCTGAAAAAAGACTGATTGGGCTTTCCTGCAAATTTGCAAAATTCCTGTCTAAAAAGGGCTTGTGGAGGCATGCCAGAAAGTTCTTTTGTTCACAAATTGGGGGTAACGTAGTGAGTAATTCATAAATAAATGGTCATTCTGCAGGTAAAGAATTACTTTAACATTATTTGATTTCATTACACACAAATAACTTTATTTGTTATCAGTAAAACCTCCAAAGGATGTGGGGAGGGGATATGACCCCTGATTCATCCAATGCTGACTGATAATGGCAGTCAGTGATGCTGAGCCAATAGTACGGTGTTTTGATGTGGTGAAATCCTGTCAAATGAGGCGCTGAACCCCTCAAACTTTAAGAGACAATGAAACGCAAAGCACACAGGTGTTGAGAAGCCAAAAGAATATTTCCCAAGGAAAAGGAGTGAGCTTCATGCACTATAGAAAGTCATCACAACAAAAAACAGCTGACAGTATTTACAACCAAGATTATTTTTTCTCCTTTTTTGTCATGTTGTGTGTTTTTTTAATCATTTATTTGGGAAAGGAGTCCTTGGAGATGTTTTTAACGATCAGAAGTTGGCCTGATTTAAACAATTATCGAATATGAAAAAAGGTACAGATTATTTTCTGCCCATTGTCAAGTTGATTAATCCACAAATCGTTTCAGCTCTAATGTTTGCCAGTGTATTTTTAACGAATTGCAATGGAAATGTTGCGCATTTTCACTATGCTACAAACACCAGCAGTGTGATGAGACACTGAGTGTCTATTCTGTGCTAAGCACAGCACTGCATGTTTTGTTGTTTTTCTGAGTGCTGTGAGTTAAAAAAAACTTTCAATTTTGGGTAAAAAGACGCACTCGCCACTGTCCCTTTTTACCCAGGTGTTAAACAGTGAAGGAGGGACCAACACCACGAACTTAACTTTTTTAACTTTTAACAGCTCAGACACTAAATAAAGTGTCTGAGCTGCACCTCCAAAGCATTCTCATATGCTTGCAGCTGCGTTTCCTGAGGAGCACCTGCTGTTCTCAGCTGGGAAAAAGCACTTTGGTGGACACAAGGCCTTACTGACCCTTATATACAATAAGTTTGGGGCGCCCAGAGGACTAATGGTCATAGTGCATACTACATAACTGTAACTGTGGGCGTGGGCTATGCCTTAATATATCACAAGGAAATGTAAAACTGTTCTGAAAAGATGATAATAGTAATCCTAAAAGCCAACCTGTACTTTCTGTTCATGATTAAATGAAATAAAAAAAAATGCAGGTATCTACCAGTGATTCTGTTGCTGACATTGGATCCTCTGGCCTATCACAGTCCTCACTGTGTTCATCATATGATGCAGACGATGAACAATTCGCTGAAAGATGTGACTGAAAAAACAAAACATACAGTGAAAAAAAGACATGGAGTAAAAATAAATAAATAACAGTCACAGGGTTGAACCTTGACTGTCATTTATGAATAGCCGAAAATGTACAAAGTAAAGGATCAGTTATGTGAGCGTGGAAAACAATTTGATGAGGAGCTACCTTTGACTTTCCTGCAGAAAGCTGACCCCGCTGTGCATCACTTGTCTTAGTTTGTTCACACTGAGCTGAATCAGCCATTGATGGATGAGACTAAAAATGAAGGAACAAAAACATGAAATTATATTTTTCATTTGTATAAATTCAGTCAAACTGCAGCATTTAAAAAAAACAACTGAACGTACCTGAACAGCTGTGTGTTGAGACTGCCCATTACTGCTGTCACCTGGATGCAGTGTTTCCAGCTTCATTGGAGGACAAAGTGAAGTCAATAGGGTGTAACTGTGTAATAATCTCTATTCTTAACAGGAATTTAAGCCATTTGCAATTAAAAGTAATACATATTTTACAGGTGTAATAGGTAACAACTATCTAAAGAAATGTTGACACTCTTCACATAAAAAACTGCACAACACACTTACAATTTTATCCAACTCTGCCACTTGTTTAAGTAGTTGTGCACGGTGTTGTAAAAGCAGCAAACGTTGACCCTCCCTGCTGGCCTGAGAGCAGAAGAAAATTAAAAAATTAAGGTGCATGTGGCCTCCTATGAAACCCCACAGCTTTGTAACTCTACTGGAAATGTCCACATTATCACATATAGCAAATGGGTTACATTCATTTGGTAGATGCTGTTGTTCAAAGTGACTTACAGCGGGTACAATCAACTTCTGTTCGAACAAATGACTAGATGTCATCAAACATGTAAAAACATTTACAACATCTCAGTTTTATTTGTAAAGATATCTTTTTAAAAAATACCATACAACATTTTTGTATGTGATGGTGTGCTCTTAATTTCCTCACCAGTGAACTGATGTTCCCCTCTGGCTCTTTGTTAGGATGAGCAGCTGCATCAGGGACAGACTTACTGACAGCACCTGAGGAAAACACAAGCAAGTTAGACAATATGAGAGAAGGTTGGTGGCGAAGGTTCAGTGTGAAAGGATTTAGTTGCATTTAGTTGTGAGATTGCAGAACTGTATCTTTGTCTTTTTAACCTGTTGTTGCTCTTGAATTAGTTTGACATCCTGGATATATCCTTCAAACACAGACTGTAGACCCCTCTGTCTGCTTCTCTCTGGAATCACTGTTTCAGTTTCCCAAAAATATGATAATATTTCTTCAGGGAGTGCAGTTAGTTACAGTGTGGGCTCCATGTTTACTCTGACAGCTTGTCGGACCATCCCAAAGGGGCGGGGCTTAGCAAAGGGTCAATTGTGAATATCATATAGGTTACCATTTCTGCAAATAGATGTTCCTAAATTCTACACACTTAGCCTTCAACCAACTGACTTTCTGTACTATGTATTTTTGTTTTTTGAATGATGAGGTGTTGGTGTTTGTCCGACAGTTCTACCTGTTAGCTACACCTAACTTATAGGTGGCTCCATCCTTATTTGTTTTTGAGGTTTTTACATAATTTTGTAGATTTTCAGTGGTGTTCCTTGTGTTTTAAAATCAGAAAATTTAAATTTTGGTCAAGGTACGTATATCATCAAAGGCCCAATCCCAATTCCTATCTTAACCCTCAGTCTCAAAAATCAGCGCTCCCGCGAAGTGCTAGTGCTGTCCCGATTCTCAGAGTGTTGAGTTGAGGGTCATGAATAAGGGCTGTATGGCCCTCACTTTTAAGATTTTCCAGGACCACCCTTGGCAGTAAGTGCTATCCCAGAATCCTTTGCTTATTATCCGCCGAGCTCATCTGAATCCAGCTGATTACAGACTATTCAGTCAATGCAAGATGGCAGCGACAAGCGTAAGGAAGCAGAGTTATAAATGTGAGTATTTTCCTCGTTAATAGTTGTTTTAAAATTATGATAACCATTGCATTATCTTAGTTTAACGTCATTTTATGGACTATAGACCTCTTTGTAGCGTAACACACATATTTTTGGTCGCGGGCGACGGCTTGCCTGCCCCGCCGCACATAACCCCTGTTCTCTGATAACCGAGTATGCTGTCATTCAGTTACAAAAGTCATTTTTCTCAGTGATAATGTAGTTGTTAAGTTGTTTTAATATACGTGAAATGTTTGTAAGATGACCGGACGGTGTCATCTCCTGTAGCCGTAGAGTCTGCAGCTGGTAACGTTACAGCTGCAGGTTAATGTTAGTGATCGTATTATGTGGTGACTTGTTGTGGTGCAGGTTATTTGGTTGAATATCAACTTATAACACAAAGAGTGAAATGTTAATGTGGATGAAAGTCACCAGTTAACATTTGTGTGACTGTGTAAACAGCCTCACCAGTTCTGCTGGATGTTGACTACAGTATTCATTGTGATAATACTTGCAATACTACATAAAACTGAACTAATAACTTAACGAATATCTGACAAGTAGCCCAAAAAAATAAAAGAAATGTTGATATCTCTGTTCCATTTCAGGGCCACCACACAAAACACAAGCCCTGATTCATTTCAGGGCCACCAATGAAGACAAGTTTACAAAAAGCAAGCAGGCTCCAAAAAACTATGGGAGTGAGTAATTTGTAACTTGTGAACTGTTCATATTCATAACATAATTCTCAGTCACAACGGCAACTGTTCCCCTAATGATCAAGCATTTTGTTTCAATATGAAATCAGCACAGCTGCAGACGGCATTGTCAAAGATTGTTGTTTGGTAACTGCACATTTGTTTTGTTGCCCCTATACTGTCACTTTTTGGGAAGATTTTGTCGAATATATTCGTTGCAACATGTATGTTCTATTTTCACTACTGTACAAAGATGTGCTGTTTGGATTTTATGATGTCAGCATTTCAAAACAAAAACAATTCTATATCATTATTCTATCTATTATCTTAGTTAAATTCCATATTCATAAGAGAAAATTTTGTAACAGAAAACCCTTGTTCAAAATTTTTATGAATGAAATGCAGCAATACTTAGAAACCATTCAGCACTCCACAAACTCCAAAGCTATAAAGACTGAAAATATGTCAACAATTTAATTGTTTGAGCTGCTGAACTTTTTTATTTATTTATTTGTTTATTTTATTTCTTTTTCTTTTCTCTTAACCCTGGCATATTTGTTCTGTTCATGTCTGTCACTGCTTGTTTTGTACAAGAATTGAAATAAGGTGTTGGAAAAAAAAACTCATCACGTCTTTTTATCGACGACTACTGATGACATATATTTCTTCTTCTTTGAACTGACAGACTGGACGGAGTTTTGGCATATTGCTGCCCCCGACAGTCTTAAGACGTATTTGCCTTTGAGGGGTGTCCCATTTTAAAGTCACAAGATAGCCCTTAACACTTGGTTTTGAGGGCTAGTGAGATTGAGGGTTGAGCTTGAGAATTAAGATAGGAATTGGGATTGGGCCAAAATGTTCCTTTTCCAAGCCCTTCACACGTGACCTGACACAGTTTTCTACATTTGTTGTTACATTCAAACCCTTACGCTAATGTGGACGTCACATTAGTTCAGTTTGGAAAGTCAAATACTAAAATGCTAAAATATGTTTTGTTGCTGCCCCCCATCACAGCCACCTGACTCCATTGACAGAAAGTCAATATAAATCAAACTCAAGAAGTTCAACCACACTGAGCAGGCTTTTCATCCACCAATACAAAACAAAATGATCAGCGTATATTTACAGTAAAGCTTACCCCTGCAGTGTGATGAAGGCATCCACTGACGCTGCTCCTGAGGAGTGGATGAGGCATGGCTATGAGTGTATCCAGCAACACCAGCTAACTCCACATTCCCTCCTTCAAAAGTAGCTTGAGATGTACTTACACGTTGTCCACATGATGGCAGACTAATGGGCAGATCTTGAAGTCCGTTTGGTAAACCCTGATTGGTTAATGGAGGTTGAAATGATGCCTTGTAAGGGTTGTTGGGCGAGACAAGCGGTACATGTTGGGGCCTACAAGGCTGTGGAGCAGGGTTTGTTTGGGGTAGAGATGGTGGGGGGATGTTTTTTCCTTGGTTTGAAGTTAGCAGCAATGATGACGTGTGAGGGCTTTGCTGGGCAAAGGATATAATGTGAGAGGCAGATGGGATGGCAGTATCACCAAAGAGCGTGGTGGACACCTGATTGCTGCTCATGTGAGAGGCTTTGTACAGAGCAGAGTGATGAGTGTTGTTTCTGGACGATAAGGCGCTGAGGTCGTTCAAACAGCTCTGATTGGACTCTTGCATGTGGTCGTAGGAGGGTCTCTGGTCAGATGACGAGCCCAGGCTGAGATGCTGAGAGCTGGGCAGTGGGTTGAGAAGTGCTCCTTGAGTTGAGGCAGTGGACCAGCCATTCTGTCCTGCCCACGACTGACAAGGCAGGTGGCTCTTACTTGCTGTCAGGTTATCCATAATTCTCCATAACCATCAAAGTTTGTTGCTTGCAGTCTTTTGTTTCCCTTGAGACAGGTCCTAGCAGAGCAAAACAACATGCACACGTGATCATCAGAGTCACAACTGTAAATCTGCTTTCACTGTCCTGACATCGTGCTCACTGTGTAAGGCAATGTCTTCACATTGAGGTTGCTGAGGTGACAGAATGTGAAATGGGTTACATTTCACCAGTGATTGTCAGGACTACTGTACTATTTTGGGCTGCAATTAATCTGCTGATCATTTTTATGATTAATCAATTAACAGTTTGGTCTGTAAACTGTATATCACCAGATTAATTTAATGTCAATGAACTAATCAAATGATCAACAAATTGTTTCAGATCGAGTAATGTTTGGTAAAAGTCACATATATAGAGGATGCAAATTAAAATGCTAAGATATTCCACTCAACATACAGTACAGGCCAAAAGTTTGGACACACCTTCTCATTCAATGCGTTTTCTTTATTTTCATGACTATTTACATTGTAGATTCTCACTGAAGGCATCAAAACTATGAATGAACACATGTGGAGTTATGTACTTAACAAAAAAAGGTGAAATAACTGAAAACATGTTTTATATTCTAGTTTCTTCAAAATAGCCACCCTTTGCTCTGATTACTGCTTTGCACACTCTTGGCATTCTCTCCATGAGCTTCAAGAGGTAGTCACCTGAAATGGTTTTCCAACAGTCTTGAAGGAGTTCCCAGAGGTGTTTAGCACTTGTTGGCCCCTTTGCCTTCACTCTGCGGTCCAGCTCACCCCAAACCATCTCGATTGGGTTCAGGTCCGGTGACTGTGGAGGCCAGGTCATCTGCCGCAGCACTCCATCACTCTCCTTCTTGGTCAAATAGCCCTTACACAGCCTGGAGGTGTGTTTGGGGTCATTGTCCTGTTGAAAAATAAATGATCGTCCAACTAAACGCAAACCGGATGGGATGGCATGTCGCTGCAGGATGCTGTGGTAGCCATGCTGGTTCAGTGTGCCTTCAATTTTGAATAAATCCCCAACAGTGTCACCAGCAAAACACCCCCACACCATCACACCTCCTCCTCCATGCTTCACAGTGGGAACCAGGCATGTGGAATCCATCCGTTCACCTTTTCTGCGTCTCACAAAGACACGGCGGTTGGAACCAAAGATCTCAAATTTGGACTCATCAGACCAAAGCACAGATTTCCACTGGTCTAATGTCCATTCCTTGTGTTTCTTGGCCCAAACAAATCTCTTCTGCTTGTTGCCTCTCCTTAGCAGTGGTTTCCTAGCAGCTATTTGACCATGAAGGCCTGATTGGCGCAGTCTCCTCTTAACAGTTGTTCTAGAGATGGGTCTGCTGCTAGAACTCTGTGTGGCATTCATCTGGTCTCTGATCTGAGCTGCTGTTAACTTGCGATTTCTGAGGCTGGTGACTCGGATGAACTTATCCTCAGAAGCAGAGGTGACTCTTGGTCTTCCTTTCCTGGGTCGGTCCTCATGTGTGCCAGTTTCGTTGTAGCGCTTGATGGTTTTTGCGACTCCACTTGGGGACACATTTAAAGTTTTTGCAATTTTCCGGACTGACTGACCTTCATTTCTTAAAGTAATGATGGCCACTCGTTTTTCTTTAGTTAGCTGATTGGTTCTTGCCATAATATGAATTTTAACAGTTGTCCAATAGGGCTGTCGGCTGTGTATTAACCTGACTTCTGCACAACACAACTGATGGTCCCAACCCCATTGATAAAGCAAGAAATTCCACTAATTAACCCTGATAAGGCACACCTGTGAAGTGGAAACCATTTCAGGTGACTACCTCTTGAAGCTCATGGAGAGAATGCCAAGAGTGTGCAAAGCAGTAATCAGAGCAAAGGGTGGCTATTTTGAAGAAACTAGAATATAAAACATGTTTTCAGTTATTTCACCTTTTTTTGTTAAGTACATAACTCCACATGTGTTCATTCATAGTTTTGATGCCTTCAGTGAGAATCTACAATGTAAATAGTCATGAAAATAAAGAAAACGCATTGAATGAGAAGGTGTGTCCGAACTTTTGGCCTGTACTGTATATTTTAACAAACATAAAAATAATCCACTACCACAGCTTTTTAAATTCAATTACCCAGTTTAAACGTCTTAAAATGACAATAATATCTAAATACACAAATTTACTTTACTTCCAAATCACTCCAAGTGTATATGCACTGGATGCGTAAAGTTTTCACTCCACACACTTGTGTAAGTTTCATACTGGACTACAATTAGCTTCCAAACCAGTCGCGAGGCCTTTAAAATCATGCTTGTAAGCACATACATGTCTTCAACCCAGATGTTAATTGAACAGAGAAACTTGAATGCTTCTTCAGATGAATATGACAACAGATATTTAGTGTCAAACTCTGCACAGGGAAAAGCAAACATCCACGCAAAGTAGTAATAACAACTGACAAAACTGAATCACAAATATCTTACAGGACATTTTGTACAATAATGGGACATTAAGAAATTTACCCAACCCTTAACTTGATTATCTTTTGATCCATATGGCATTGTGCGTATCTTACTATATAATGACGAAAACTCTGTCTGTGTGTCTGTTCCATGTTTTTCTCCTCACTGACTTGGTCAATCCATGTGAAATTTGGCACAGTGGTAGAGGGTCATGGGAGGATGCCAATGAAGCAATATTACATCAATTGGCCAAAGGGGGGCGCTATAGCAACCCATTGAAATGTCAAACTTTGAATGGGCATATCTCATGCCCCGTATGTCGTAGAGACATGAAACTTTGCACAGAGATGCCTCTCCTCATGAGGAACACATTTGCCTCAAGAACCCATAACTTCCGCTTATATAGATTTTCCGCCATTTTGAATTTTTTGAAAAACACTTCAAATGGATCTCTTCCTAGGAAGTTTGAGCGATCTGCATGAAACTGGGTGAACATAATCTAGGGACCAATATCTAAAGTTCCCTCTTGGCAAAAGTTGGAAAACTTACTAAAACTGAGCTTCTATAAGGCAATGAATATTGCGGAGGGCGTGGCTCATCACATAAAGGTGTATAACATCTCAAGGGTTTCACCCATCACCACGCAACTTTGTAGGCATATGACCACACATAATCTGAGGGGACCCCTCCATTATTGACCCCATCAAACAAAATGGGGGCGCTAGAGAGCTAATTTCTTATCTAGGCCTAACCGCCATATCAGTTTTTACTAAACTTGGTAGATATGTAGAACAGGACACCTCAAGGTGACTGGAGAAATTTAACTCTAATTGGCAACTGGGTGGCGCTATAACAAAAGAAAAATGCTTAAAAATGGCTAAAATGCGACCGATCACTGTGGCTCCCCCTGTGGACCAATGTTTGTTTTTTTCTCATTTTTGGTATGACTAAGTTCCCAACTTTTAAGTCAATACAACATATAAACACTTTCAACATGCTACCTCAACTACTAATGTACAGTTTTAGCCCACTATCTATGCCACTATTGGCAATGGTGCTACTGCACTTTCAATAAAGCAATCGTACTATCAAATTCACAAAAACTGTCTGAATACATTGCTCTTCTTAATGGGTTCAGTTGACTATTTAATCTGCCATTTCCTATGACCTGTATCCCAAACACACACCATGTGAAACTGTACGTGGGCATCTGTGCACTCAATGGGTATGGACTTTTGGATCTGCACCTTATTTATACCTTACTGTTATTGTACTTAGACTTTTAAACGTGCACTTTTTGTTGCACTCTTCCCACTTTGTATTTTTTTTTATATACTTTATTAATCCCCGAGGGGAAATTCAATTTTTCACTCTGTTTGTCAATTACACACAGGTCCGAACACACACATGCACAAACTGGACCTATACATGCACTAAGTGGAGAGATGTCAGAGTGGGCTGCCCATAACAGGCGCTCCGAGCGGTTGAAATAAGCACTGGAATTGACTGATTTTAGAGGGGTTAGTTTGCTGTTGACAGGTCAGTTTAACCAACTGACAAAACGCTCATGATCTAATTTTAGTTAATTCAGTCTTGAAGTACCAAGTTATGCACAGTGGGTTTTATGTTTTATGTTCCATATTTTAAGATAGCATTACTCATATTCACATCTGGAAAAATCACCTACAAAATCTCTTTCTGCAATGTTCTGTTCGCTAGTTAATCTTACATGAGACAAATTACGTAGCCCCCTTACATGTTGTTGTAGACAACTCGCGTAGATTAAGTGAGGTTGAGGATTAGCAACGAAATTTGTTAATAAATAACGTTAATGTTAATTGGGTGAACCGACCATTGTAGCTACATCACCCAAAGTCAAACTTTACAGAATTACTTATGAATAGAATCTCGTTACATGCACAAAATAACTTCATATGTATACTCACAGTGGGGCATAAGCAACTGTAACAAAATCGTTGTAGTTATGTCAACCGAATGTAAGTTAGCTTTGCAGCGTACTGTCCCATTTCTTCAGTTCTTTAGCTAGCTACACTAGCTAGCTGTTAGCGTGACTGGTAGTTAAATTCCGGAGTCAAACGTAGGTCTGACAACGACGAAGAAATTACTACGCTGAAAAAATGTTTATCTGCATAAAATACATCTAACTGTCACGTAAAATGTCTGAGCACGTGTGGCGTATTATCGGAAGCAACAGCCGTTTGTTTGTTTACCTCAAAGCTCTGCCCAGTGGATGCTAACATACGACTTCCGGTTAATTTTTTCAGAATAAAAGCGCCATGTTTACAGAATAGATATTCAACTGGCGGAAGTGATTGAAAAACTTTTTGAAAATATATTGCTGAATTTTTATATTTTAAAAAAAGAACAATGCCACCAGTGGTGGAAGAAAAACAGATCCTTTGTTTAAATGGAAAAAATATTGCAATAATCTGAAATCTGAAAACGGTGTGCATCGTTTGCTACGGTTTCCGTGTTAAACGCAAGGAAACTGCAAAAGTTTAAAGTTGGTTGTAAGTTTATTATATCCACTTTGATTAAACGACATTTCCTCGAAAAGGTGTGCAGCGGTTTTATGTTTTGAGGTACGTTTTCTCTCGTTTCTTAGGTGTGTCAAAGGTGTTACCCAATCAGCAGCTGCGTTACATAAATATGTTTGTCAGATGCTATAAGGGGGGTACCACCACCATATTACCAGTGCAAACTGTAGAGCACCAACATTATGGTTTATTTAGATTAGGGGTTTATACTCGTAATATTTAATCTTATTCTTAAAATACTGCAACTTTATTCTCAAGAAAGATTTGTTGGATATGTTTTGAATGTGCAGAAAGTTTTAAACATGAGCAGAAATCTTGCTGAAACACGTCCTGTTAAAGTCCAGAATTACAATTAAAATGAACAGAGGAATGAATTTTTCATTGACATGAATAGGTATTACATGCACATTTAACCCTTTAATACAAGAGCAAATTGGATTTATCTCTTTCAAAGACATGGGCAGAAGGCAATGAGCAACGAAAGAGGAAATGACCCCAAAATTCTGAAAGAAATTGGTAAAAAGAGAACAAACAAGGGAATGACCTGGAAAAAGTGCTTAAAATTATAATAAAAAATTCTAAATCTTTTATTTGTTTGCAATTTGTGGGACATTTCTTACCAAGTTGCTCATTGCTCTTTTCCCCATGTTTTTGAAAGAAATAACTTATTCAGGGTTCAAAGGTTAAAATATCTGTGAAAGGCATCTGAAATAAAGCAGAAGAAAAGTGATGTTGCTCCAGGTTTCAAAGGCCATTTCCCTAAACAAAAGATGCAAAGGAGGACAAAATAATTCTACATGTGAGTTAACTCAGCAGAGACAACGTCGTGAGGGTGAACTGGGAACGTCCAGAGGGAGCTAGGAGTAGGACCACCACCGGGTTGTTTGGGTATCTGACAAGGATGCCTCGTTGGTGCCTCCTATGAGAGGTTTTCCAGGCATGTCCAACTGGTAGGAGGCCACAGGGCAGACACACAGCATGCTGGAGGATTTATATTTATCATCGAACCTGGGAACCCCTCAGGAGGAGCTGGAAAGCACTGTTGGGGAGAGGGATGTTCCTTGCTCAGCCTGCTGTCCCTGCGACCTGGCCCTGCACAATGAAAATGACTGGATGGACATAAATGTTCTGTCAGTGTCTAAACGTAGTTTCAATTTTATCGATATGACAATGCAAAGATAGTACTGAGGTGGATCTATTAAAATAAGAGAGTGGAATGTCTTTAGCCTAAAACTGTTAATGAATACAAATATCTTATAATAATAACTTGTGGTTTCAGCTTGTAAAACCTAGGACACAATAAAACCCCTGAAAATAATTCATTCTTGTAGCAGTTTCTCTTCCTGGAGCGCACACAAAGCATAAAACTAACAGAGACAAAAACAATGATAAAATATCAGAAGTAGACATGCACAGAAGTCGTTTAGTATCTTTTTTTTTTCTATAAACGTTACAACACATGATTAACATCTATCTCCCACAGAGGAATAAGAGGTGAAAACTGTAAAGTCTTTTGAGTTATTTGATTTCGTGCAGCTTCTGCATCCTGACAGCACGTCTCTCACAACCATCAGGAAATATCATTCAAAGTCTTATGTCAAACTGTAAATGCACTGAAATGTCACAGATTCCCTCTGCTCTGATAAAATGACCTCTAAACGACTGTGTGAACTTTGCCTTGGACCAGCGTGTTGCACAACAGTCAGCATAAGGCTTGGCAGTCACACAGCAGCCAAAAGTGCTGATCTGCTGCCAACTCTGAGACAAACGCTGCACAGACTGTCAGTGTACTGAACAACACCTGGCCACTGTAAGTACAACATGAACTATTGTCACTGAATCAAGATGTTGTCACTGAAATTTATTAACAAGAAAATGTAAACTGAGTTTGTTGATGAGCATTTAAAGGGATAGTTTAAAACCTCTGAAGTGGGATATATGATGTATGGTTTGCTATGTGTGTTACTAATCCTTAGTCAGTGTATTTATTACCTGCAGAAGATGTCGGATGGTGCGCCACCAGTTTGGAGAAGCAGGTGGGAGTGTCAACAGGCAAGCTGATCAATGTACTTGTGTGGATGGGGGTCACCAACAAAACTCAGCTGGTCGCACGCTTAAATCACTATTAATTTTTTTTTTTAGGTGGACTGCTTGGACTTTTGTTCAGCTGGCTAAAATACCTTTTGTTGCTGCCCCCACCACAGCAGTAGTTGCTTCTGTGTCGAACTCCAGCGTGCTTCTCCAAACTTGGGGGATTTTGATTGACATCTACTGTACGTAATACACTGACTATGCATAAGTACCCCACACAACCACACTTCAAAAAGTCTGAACTATCCCTTTAACGCTTCAGCCCTTCAGACTGCGTGTGTCCCAACATGTACAGAAGCCCACACTGATGTTTTATTGTTGTATGTCTCTGCAGAGGAAATACAAGAGTTGCTGAAGTACATGCACATACAGAAGTGGGTTCCTTTAACATGGTTTGTCTCATAAAATATTAGAATGCCAGAAAGTAGTACTGTATGTCCCAATACATAGTATGTCAAAAATACCAGGATGTTCTACTACATCGTGTCTGATTTTGCAGTATGCAAACCAGCATGCTTTACTGTCTATTCTGACCCACAATCCAATTTTATGTTTCCAGTTTCACCTCAGAGATGACCCAGTTGAGACTGGTGACACTGGCAGCACTGCTCTGCTCTCTTCCCAGTGCTGATGGAGGGAAAGTCCTCGTCTTCCCTGTGGATGGAAGCCACTGGGTCAACATGAAGGTCCTCATCCAAGAGCTCCACTCCAGAGGTCACAACATCACAGTAATCCGGTCCACAACCAGCTGGTACATCGCAGCAGAGTCTCATTACTACCAGTCAGTCACCCTCGATATCAGTATTGGATTTGACGAGAAAAACATGACTCAGTTAGCAACAAAAATGGTGCAGCTCCGGCGTGACTTCCATAATTCAACTGCAGCTTTTTTTAAAGCTGGAGAGGAGTTTTTGACAGTGATGCATCATACTCACAAATCTGTGGTTGATAAAATGCAAGAGATATTTGAGGATGCTGAAGTGATGCAGTTCTTCCAAGAGGCCAAGTACGATGTTGTTCTGACTGACCCCTGCTTCGGTGGAGGGGTTCTTCTGGCTCATCGGTTGGGTCTGCCTCTGGTCTTCAATGTACGATGGACGATTATTGCTGACGGACATTACACAGTTGCCCCCTCACCGCTCTCATATGTTCCCATACCAGGTGCTGAAGTGACTGATAAGATGACTTTTTGGCAAAAGTTGAAAAATATTTTGTATGCCTTAATAGTGCTTAATAACCAGCTGATAATCCAAGAGCCTCTCTACACAACGTTTGTCCACCGTCACTTTGGTTCTGACGTCCAGTATAATGATCTTGTTCAGGCAGCAGATATTTGGTTGATGAGAACTGATTTTACCTTTGAGTTCCCTCGTCCCACCATGCCCAATGTTGTCTACATGGGCGGGTTTCAGTGCAAACGCTCTAAACCACTTCCTCAACATCTGGAGGACTTTGTCCAGAGCTCTGCAGAGCATGGAGTCATTATTATGAGCTTGGGGACCTTAGTGGGGACTCTTCCTGAGGATATAGCAGAACATGTGGCTGCTGCTTTTGCTCAGTTACCTCAGAAGGTCATCTGGAGACATACTGGGAAGAGACCGTCCACCCTGGGCAACAACACCTTGCTGCTGGACTGGCTGCCCCAAAATGACCTCTTAGGACACCCAAAGACCAGAGTGTTTGTGGCCCACGGAGGCACCAATGGACTTCAAGAGGCCATCTACCATGGAGTTCCCATCGTCGGCCTTCCTCTGATGTTTGACCAGGATGATAACCTGTTCAGGATGACAGTGAGGGGCGTTGCCAAAGTGCTGGACATTGGCACGCTGAACACAGACAACTTCCTGGAGGCGGTGAAGGCGGTGCTTTATGAGCCGTCCTACAGGGAGAAGATGCAGGAGCTCTCCAGGCTGCACAGAGACCAGCCCATGAAGCCTCTGGACTGAGCCATGTTCTGGATCCAGTTTGTCATTAGACACAAGGGAGCTGCTCACTTAAAGACCCACTCCTACAAGATGTCCTGGATTCAGTACCACTCCATTGATGTGATCGCACTGTTGCTAGTGTCGGTCATGATGATGTCTCTGCTTTGTATTTTAACAGTGAAATGTTTGTGTAGTAAAGTGTTTGGTGGGAGGAAAGAAAAACTGGACTAACACAGAGACTCATGTTGCCCTGTTTGTACTTCTGTTCTGTGTTTTATTGAGCAGTTGAGTTTTTTGTACACAATGCCTCAAAACAAGATGCTGATAACCAAAATATTTGAAAGCTTTGGATCTGGCTCTGGATTGAAAATTTGTCTTCAGACAGTATGATACAGTTTCAGCAAGAGGTGGCACATTTTCTTGTGGATTACACTTCATTTTAACATAATTTATACTCTACATCTGTTTCTTTTAAAGACAATTACCATCAAGTTATTATCTTGAGATTTTGGCTAAACAAAATAGAAATAAATCAAAAACAAGTTTCAGATTAAAACAATGATTTATATCCACATGTTTTTACAATGGGTTGCATGAAAAAGACAAATGAAGATAAAGAAAATATTTACACACAATTCATTTCATACAGTGGAGACAGGTATTTACAACAAATCAGTTCTGCTGAAGAATAAAATAATAACCATCAATCAGAGCCAGAATATGTTTTGAGTCACTGAGACTCTGTGTAAACTGTACAAAACTGAAAATACAACATGATCAACATGAAAATATCTCATTAGAAGTTCCAGAAATCTGAAAAATTAAATATGTCTGATGACGATAAAAGAAAGAGTCAAACAACTTGAAACAAAGTACTGGGTATAATGAACACAGTGTATGTTATATTGTGATCTGATTAAACACAAGATGCTGATAACCAGGCAAATAAGTTATAATATATATAAATGTATATGTATAAAAGTTAATTACCTGGTGATGTAATGTAGTTTGAACACTGAGTACATTTTTCTGGATTAACTGTGTATTGTTTTAATTATCCCAATGACATCGAGACAAACAGTGAAGTCAGAGTAAAGTCTTCACTAACACCAACATGTCTGAACATCACAGAGAAATCTCAGTGTGACACATTTTGATATCAGCAGTTTTAGCATCACCAGTCGGACCAATTTCAAAAAATGGGAAGAGTTTCTCAGTGAAAGTGTCTCTGTGAGTGCAGATGTGAGTCATGTCTTCAGGGTCGTAGAATGACACCTCTCCCCTGTCATAGTCCAGCTGGACTCTGATTCTCTGGAGACTCTTCTTCACTGTGACAGTCTCACCAGCTCCATTAGAGTATTCTCCTTTGTTATGTGTTAAACACCAGATTCCATCTTTTGGTGAGGCAAGTATCTCTCCCTTCCTGTCAGCTGACTCTTTAGCCAAACCCAAAAGCCAGTCAGGATGGTCTCCCACCTCCACCTCCCAGCTGTGTTTCCCTGAGCTGAAGCCCTCAGAGCCCAGAACAGTGGTATACTTAGTGTGTCTCTCTGGATTGTCAGGAAGCTGCTGCTTTGTGTCTCCATTTCTCACACTGGTCAGATCATCAGACAGATAGAGTCAGGGGTTTGCAGTGTTTGGGTCCAGAATGACAGGACTGAAGTGGACCTTGTCCTTCATCTTCTCCCAGACTCTGAAGGACAGGTTGCCCAGGTGTTTGGCCACATCTATCAGCGCTCCTGAGACCAGCTGTGGATCTGACAGTGAGCACTGGACTCTGGCTCTGCTCTGAGTGGCTTTATAACTGCTGAGGAATGGCACCTCGTGTTTCTGCAGCTCTTCTTCAACAGCACAGATACTGTGTGACAGAGAGGAGATCTGCTCCTCAATCATCTTCATCTCTCTGCTGAGAGTCTTCCCCTTCTGCTCCTCTTCCTCCCTCAGAGCTGCCAGTCTGGACTCCTCTTCCTCTTTCAGGAACTGCTGGAGCTTGTTGAACTCTGCTCTGATCTGCCTCTCTGTGGACAACAGCTGCTTCTTGGAGTGTTCAATCACTTCATTGTATGTTTCCTCCACTTGTTTGTATTTGTCCCTCTTGTCCTGCAGAGACTTTAAGTCACATTTCAGCTGGTCCTTCAGCTCACTGACTGCTTGTTCTATAGGAACCACCTTGTGACCGTGGTGGAGAGAAAACTCACAGACAGGACACACAGCTCTATCTTCATCCTTACAGAACCAATAAGAGACGTCTGGATGTTTATCACACACCACCTCCTCTTTCTCCTTTTCTTTTTCTGTCTCAGGTGAATCATTGTTCTGTCTCCCAGCAAAGGAGTCAGCCAGTTCCTTCAGTGTAAAATTTAATGCTGGCTCATCTGTCAAGGATTTTCTTTTACAAATGGGACAGTTTTTGTTTTCAGCTTGTTCCCAGAATTTCTGCAGGCAGCTTGAACAGAAGCTGTGGTTGCAGTTCAGAGACACAGGATCTCTGAAAGTCTCTGAACACACATGGCAGCTCAGGTAACTTTCAAGAACAGCTCTCTCAGCCATTTGTAAATGTATTTTTCAGTAGCAGGACTCACCAGCTTTTAGTCTCTCCACTTAATAAACTCCAACTGTGTGTTTTCCAGCAGAGATCTCACTCCCTGTAATGGCGTCTCAGCTCTGATCAGGAATGTGAAAATCTTCTTTCAGTTTCACCCACCTTTGACACGAAGTGGATCATAAACAGCAGGAAATGCTGCCATGTCATTCAGTCACCAGCAGGTGGTGTCAGGATGTTTTCAGAGTTCAATATTTTCCTGTTTAATAGGAGCAACACAATTTCCTTGTTTAAGCATTTTCCCCCAAGACAAGACAAAACAAAATAAAATAAATATAAAATTCTGAATTCTTATCTTTTGTTTCTCTAAATAAATAAAAGAATTGTAATCTTATGTGTGATTCAGACTTAATTATTGCATATATTGGTGCCTAAGATCTCACAATAGACTGCACACAAACCTCAATTGTGGATACTGTGAAGAAATAAGAGCAAAAGCAATGACTGCCCAAAACCAAATATAAAAGCTGCTCATATGAAATAGTTATTATATTTCAAAGTATTTATATGGACCCTACAAACAAACTGGTACCAAAGACATTTTGCCGCCTCAGGTGGAACCAACATCGGGCCTGGCCCATGGACTGTAAGGACAATGAACACAGATGCATTTTATTGATGGCAGTTTGAATGCACAGAGATACCATGACAAGACCCTGAGATCTACTGTTGTTCCATTCATCCGCTGCCATCACCTCATGTTGCAGCATGATAATGCACGGCCCCATGTCGCAAGGATCTATAAACACAGATCCTGGTGCAAATGCATTTTTGTAGCAATGTGAAATCCTGCAGCAACTTTTAGATTGGCCTTTTACTGTGACCATCCCAAGTCTTACCTGTGTAGTCATGATGCTGTTTAATCAGCATCGTGATGAGCCACACCTGTCAGGTGGATGGATCATCTTGGAAAAAGAGAAGTGTAAATATAAATGTGTAAAATTATGGAAGCCACCAGGCATCGCATATCCATCTGAAACATGACTGACAAGAAATCAGTGAGCTAAAAAAGACAGACATAGGACGATTTTACAGATCATAACTGTGTTGAAGTTTATTCATAAAGTCAATCATTATTACTAAATTAAATGAACTCTTGACAGTGGTGAATGACAATTTTTGAGTTACAATTATAGTAGTTTAACTGCAAAAATGTCTCCATAAATGCACTCAACATAATCTGCTGCCTATTTCCTTTACAGTCAAATAGTCCAAAGATAAGGCTGAATGTAATAAGTTCACAATTCTCAAGTTGCATGAAAGCTTTAACAAATTAGACTCTAAATGACCAGCCAGGTCTCTCAACAGAAAAACACTCTGAATAATGTCTTTGAGATGATTTGACTAAACTGGTGCCTGATGAAGCAACAACAACATCAGGAGCCACAGCAATGATGGATTTCTTAGATACTCTGGACATACAGTATGTCTGACAGACAGAATGAGGTTTTTGTGAAGAGTATGTATTTAAATATTGATCAGAAACTGCTAAGAGGTGCTTCTATTGATCAACCTGTGCAGCAAACAATAATATGCATGTAAATAAGTGACAGAAATCAAATGTTCAGTGTTTAAAATGAGCAGGCTGTGAACAACATGTGGACTTTGTCTCCATCTTGTGACGTTTACAGGAAGTAAAATGTGTCCATGTGAGCTGGTTGTGATTATTGTTCCTTGTAATTAGTCACATGACTATTTGACAGATGTATGTAAAGTAAGTGGAAACAACCTCAGACACATCATTCAGAATAAAAGCTGCTGGTGATTTAATTACACATCATGTGAAGCAGCATCCATCTGATGAACATTTTATAAAGATACAGTTGATTCAATACAGAAAACATATTAAACTGAATTGTACTGCTGGAGTTTCATTAATGTTGATCACAAACTGGACATTGTCATTCATCATTCATGTTTCTGACCATGTATACACTACAAAAATATCACATACAGTATGAAGAATTAAAGACTGACTTAAAATAAAAGGAAATGAAACCACTTGTTTCCTCAGAATAAAACAACAGATCCAAAACTGATTTACCTCATAAAAGACTCCAATAATATCTCAAACTAAAGCTGATGACTGATACTACTATACAGTGTTGTCTGACTCAAAACAAGATGCTGATGACCAT